ACATACATACATACATACATACATACATACATACATACACACATACATATATATATACATACTCACATATATACATACATACACACACACACAAACACACACACACATACACATAAATACACACACACACTGTATTTACCGTGACTTCAGAAAATATTCACAACATTTCTGTTGTATTAAAGCCTGAATTTAAAATGGATTAAATTTAGATTTTGTGTCACTGGCCTACACACAATACCCCATAATATCAAAGTGGAATCGTGTTTATAAAATCTTTTACAAATTATTTTAAAATGAAACGCTGAAATATCTTGGGTCAATAAGTATTCAACCCCTTTGTTATTGCAAGCCTAAATAAGCTTCAGGAGTACAAATTTGCTTAACAAGTCTCATAATAAGTTGCTATGTGTGCAACAATAGTGTTTAACATGTTTTTTCAATTACTACCTCATCTCTGTATCCCACATATACAATTATATCTAAGGTCCCTCAGTTGAGCAGTGAATTTCAAACATAAACCACAAAGACCAGGGCGGTTTTCCAATGCCTCGCAAAGAAGGGCACTGATTGATATACGAGTAAAAAAAAAGCAGACATTGAATATCCCTTTGAGCATGGTGAAGTTAATAACCACACTTTGGATGGTGTATCAATACACCCAGTCACTACAAAGATACAGGCGTCCTTCCTAACTCAGTTGCCAGAGAGGAAGGAAACCGCTCAGGGAATTCACCATGAGGCCAATGGAGACTTTAAAACAGTTCCAGAGTTTAATGGCTGTGATAGGAGAAAACTGAGGATGGATCAACAACATTGTAGTTACTAAACAATACTAACCTAAATGACAGAGTGAAACAAAGAAATCCTGTACAGAATACAATATTCCAAAACATGCATCTTGTTTGCGATAAGGCAATACAGTAAAACTGGCAAAGAAATTAACTTTATGTCCTGTATACAAAGTGAATCAGTCAAAGTATTCCACTGGCTAGTAAACAGTGAATGGTGTTGAATGTAAGGCAAACATTCTTAGTTGAATGATTGAAGGCAAACCATTTCACTTAGGGCCCGACACCCCAAAGGCTGGCGCTGACTGCCACCCTGTATCGTTGAGCAGACATTGAATTTGAGACCTGCTCTCCGGGTGACACAGACTGCGAGCATAAACCTTCAGCCTCCTTCATAAAGAATGAGCCTACAGCCCCGGCTGCAGAGCATTTTGGTGAATGTGCCCCTACCGCAATCAAAAATGTACACCTCCCAGCCCTATTCAGTAGACACTCTTTTACAGTCAAAAAAATGTCCTAACTAGAAAAAATAAAGTTGAATTTTGACTGACCCAGAATCAGGAGAAATATAATAGATCCCATGCTTTCTTGATAGTACAAACCTGCTGTCCGAACCAAGGCTTTAGTTATTAAGCTACTCAGTCAGCTCACGCTTGTAAGAAAGCACAGGGTTCTAGAAGTGCAAGAAGTTTTCTGAGTTGATGTGTGATCAACTATTGCATGTTCTCACACACAGCCCCCTCTCTGTTAATGTTTATCATTTGATCTTTTCTTGTGTTTCCTCCCTTTCTCAATCATACTTTTCATTTCTGACGATATGTACAGCATTTTCATCAGCAGAATGCGAAACTACACCTAATCAGTTGCTCTATCAGCAGGGGAATGGAGATAAAGGGTTAAAGCCATCCAGTCACATACCACAAATAACTGATACGCATGAGCTTTTGAGTATAACCCCCAATTATCAAAATTGGAAATCATAAGCTTAAAAGGTCATATTTTCCCAAAGAAAATAGCTTTGACCTTTTCTCTCATCTCTAACTATCAGTAAGGCTGAAGGACCTGTCTGAGTGGGCGGGGAGCTCACCTTGATTGACAACAACTTGGATGCAATGTTGCAGTGAGGTCATCTCAAGCAAATGTGCTGATGATACACGAAGCAACTCAAACAAGACTCCAATCCAATCCTGTCATACATCACATCATGGTTTCACAAATTATTTGTCTATCCAACAGTTTGGTTATTGTAACAGCATCAATATAGACAACATCCTGTCTCAGTTCATGTTGGACAATTTCAGTTGAAACTGGTCGGAAAATGTCTGTGTTGACTTCATAAATTACATTTGTTGACTGCCAGACCATGTACATAAACCATGTCATGATGTCAATCATTTTGTATACATCGTTTGGCATGTCTCTTCTGTTGCAGTTTGTAGCAGCACTGACATGACAACTGGGTCGGAGTTCCGAACAGAATTTCTTCCCCCATGCTGGACAGTAACTAGCTAACACCAGATACAGAGGAAAGTGAAAACCTAGAAGTACATTTCCCCAGATAAATAGGGAAACCTATAACACCCTGCAGTGAAATTTGGCACCAGTAGACTAGCTAGCTAGCTATGTAAACCACGCCCCTCTGCGAACATGCCTTCTGCAATGATGGTTACAAGGCAGTACTTATTTAAATTATGTATGAGAATAAGACGTTACAATTGGTGTATTAAAATGAGTGGCTAAATGTGATGTTTCATCGATCCCCAATAAGCAAATAGTATCTGGATTCCTGAATTCAAGTTTTTGACATAAAGGAGGAAGCAAGTCACTTTATGATCTAACTTTATCAATGTACCAGCAATAGTCATTTGTTATACTTTGATAGGGTTTAATCCAAGTCATCCAATTTGATGATAAACAGGATTTTGACTGTTCAGGACATTTAAAGATGCTTTTCGTTCTTTGATGTTCTAATCAAAACAGAAACTCAACCTGGACCGTCTGTTCTTCACCTAACTGTTTCAGGAAAACCAGGTTTTAGGAACCTGCAGCTGATGGACTTGATGAGCTTCACTACGCAGCAATATAATTTGAGCTTTCCTATCTAGAAAGCCAGAAATATTGAAGAGGTTGCTGTTTAACTACTCTTATGTTTTGTTCTCCTCGTTTCATGTTTTCATGCAATGAACAGGTCTCCAGGCAGCCGATCATAGGCCACATAACAGTATGTATGTAATGTAGGTATGCATGTACAGTATGTCCATGCTACGTGTACAGTATACACAGTGAGTGCAAAGGTGTGTGTTCAGTCTTTCATGAACAAACATGTACAGTGAGGGAAAAAAGTATTTGATCCCCTGCTGATTTTGTACGTTTGCCCACTGACAAAGAAATGATCAGTCTATAATTTTAATGGTAGGTTTATTTGAACAGTGAGAGACAGAATAACAACAAAAATATCCAGAAAAATACATGTCAAAAATGTTATGAATTGATTTGCATTTTAATGAGGGAAATAAGTATTTGACCCCCTCTCAATCAGAAAGATTTCTGGCTCCCAGGTGTCTTTTATACAGGTAACGAGCTTGTTACCTGTATAAAAGACACCTGTCCACAGAAGCAATCAATCAATCAGATTCCAAACTCTCCACCATGGCCAAGACCAAAGAGCTCTCCAAGGATGTCAGGGACAAGATTGTAGACCTACACAAGGCTGGAATGGGCTACAAGACCATCGCCAAGCAACTTGGTGAGAAGGTGACAACAGTTGGTGCGATTATTCGCAAATGGAAGAAACACAAAAGAACTGTAAATCTCCCTCGGCCTGGGGCTCCATGCAAGATCTCACCACGTGGAGTTGCAATGATCATGAGAACGGTGAGGAATCAGCCCAGAACTACACGGGAGGATCTTATCAATGATCTCAAGGCAGCTGGGACCATAGTCACCAAGAAAACAATTGGTAAAACATTACGCCGTGAAGGACTGAAATCCTACAGCACCCGCAAGGTCCCTCTGCTCAAGAAAGCACATATACAGGCCCGTCTGAAGTTTGCCAATGAACATCTGAATGATTCAGAGGAGAACTAGATTAAAGTGTTGTGGTCAGATGAGACCAAAATCGAGCTCTTTGGCATCAACTCAACTCGCCTTGTTTGGAGGAGGAGGAATGCTGCCTATGACCCCAAGAACACCATCCCCACCGTCAAACATGGAGGGGGGTGTTTTTCTGCTAAGGGGACAGGACAACTTCACCGCATCAAAGGGACGATGGACGGGGCCATGTACGGTCAAATCTTGGGTGAGAACCTCCTTCCCTCAGCCAGGGCATTGGAAATGGGTTGTGGATGGGTATTCCAGCATGACAATGACCCAAAACACTCGGCCAAGGCAACAAAGGAGTGGCTCAAGAAGAAGCACATTAAGGTCCTGGAGTGGTCTAGCCAGTCTCCAGACCTTAATCCCATTGAAAATCTGTGGAGGGAGCTGAATGTTTGAGTTGCCAAACGTCAGCCTCGAAACCTTAATGACTTGGAGAAGATCTGCAAAGAGGAGTGGGACAAAATCCCTCCTGAGATGTGTGTAAACCTGGTGGCCAACTACAAGAAACGTCTGACCTCTGTGATTGCCAAAAAGGGTTTTGCCACCAAGTACTAAGTCATGTTTTGCAGAGGGGTCAAATACTTATTTCCCTCATTAAAATGCAAATCAATTTATAACATTTTTGACATGCATTTTTCTGGATTTTTTTGATGTTATTCTGTCTCTCACTGTTCAAATAAACCTACCATTAAAAGTATAGACTGATCATGTCTTTGTCAGTGGGCAAATGTACAAAATCAGCAGGGGATCAAATACTTTTTTCCCTCACTGTATGTCCTTCCTTTGATTACAACAGAGCTGCTATTTAAATTTGTACAATAATACTGTATGGCAAGCTTATGTCTACAACTGAATGGAGAAAAAGTAAATTGACATTGATGGGAATTGAGAACAACTAATAATCTCTAATATTAAAATACATTTATATATTTCATAAAATCATTTTTATCAAGTGCCTGAAGTTGAAACTAAAACTTCATATTAACATTTTCTAACAGTTCTTTCACAGTCTAAACTGTTATTTTACAGTAAATTGACATAGGGTGGGATTATATACAAAACACAGGAAAGAGAGATTTTAGAAATCCCTGCTGTCTAAGTTGAGGTGCTTTAGAGCGTCAAATGCTGTTCTGGCTGGCTCCCTCCATTGTGTTTTTTGCTGATAAAACGACACCACAGGGCCATGAGCAGGGATAGGACCACACAAGCCAGCGCCACGGAAGCGCCCACCCACATCACCAACGGCAGCTGTCTATGTTTCTGTCAATGAGGAATGACAAGAATCAAATACAGACCATACTACTGCCCCAAGGCAGGTCTACTCCGAGTGTGAGTTTGAAGGCAAAAAGACCTTCTCACAGATCTAAGACCCTTTTCCCTCTTAGTAGTTCTACAGTGTTGTTGTGTATCACCTTATTCTCTTGGATTCCCCTGAGCAGGGCAAAGCTGCTGAGATGGGTGCAGGCGCACACAGTGTGGGTGGAGTTGGACATCACTGAGGTGCAGCCCTGGATTGACCACGCCCCCTCACCATCCTCTGACCAATAAACACAGGTGGTATTCGCATCACTTGACTGGGAAACAAAGGAGACGAGACTCATATCATTTTATTAACAGCTAGGGTCTACTGCATGCATGTCTGTTAAACAAATGTGTTTTATGTCTAATAAAACCTGTTTTAAAGGGATAGTTCACTTTATTTTGAAGTTAAGCATATTTTCGACTTCCCTAGGGTGTTGTTGTTTCCTCCAAATAGTTTTTTAAAATCGTTAGCTGGTTATTACGCAAAGTCCAGAATAATCTGGCTAGCATTTTTGTATCTGTTAGCGGTGCATTCATAAGCATGGGGACGCAGACCACACCAAGTTCTTTCCCCATGATTTTGAACGCCCCGCTAATGGATACAATCCGTTTCCACTAGCATTGCTACATTCCCCCAAAATGGTAGCTAGGAGATTCTGGACGTTGCTAAATAACCAGCTAACACATTTAAAAACGGTTTGGAGCAAACAACCACAGTCTAGGGAAGTCAAAGATAAGCTAAAAGTGAAAGAAGTGAACTATCACTTTAACTGAGAGACACAATTGTTACCTTCAAGTGATTGAAGGTGAGAATGATAGGTTCAGACAGGTTTGTTGTGTTGGGGTTGCTAACTGATACGGTCACCACTCTGGAGGAAAGCTGCTCAGAGCTGTTGGTCAAAGTCTGCAGACTCTTGTAGCTGAGCAAAATGGCAAACCCTGCAAACAACATAACACAAAACCAATACACACAGAAACACAATCAATATAAAACAAAACCAATTCACAAATCATCAAGTATACAAACCCATCAACCTAAAAAAAAAAAACATACGGTACACAAAATATGCCCTGTATATTATAAGTACTGAACAAAACACAACAGCCTCCACACAAATCATACAAGATACAAAATACACAAGAAACTTGTAAAATACACAAGTAAATACTTGTCACTCAGAAACTTCCAATTACTTTGTTTTTTAAGAAGCATAATGCCACTGCAGCTGAGTGGGTCTGTACCTGGGTAATTCCTGTCCTCTCCGATCACCATCTCCCAGGTGGTGTCAAGTTGGATGTTCTCATTGGTCAGTCTGACTGGTCCTCGTGGTGGTGTCCTGTCCCTCCTCACCACAACCTCTACCTCTGTTATTCAACATAGGGACAAAAATCGATACTGACTAGAAATGACCATTATTGAAAGAACAAGTGGTCAATGTGTTCAGTGTAAGGTTAAGTTGTGGTACTGGTGAGGTTAGAGTGATCAGTAAATGTGTTTTCAGTATAAGTGTTACCTGTGTGCCTTGTATTTATCCTGCTCACATTCTCTCTCAACTGTGGAGCGATCAGTCTGATAGAGTTTTCTACTGTCCTCAGTAGCATAGTCACTTTACTGCTGTTACCACCTTGACCATTGGACTGTAGTTGAAGAACATCAGTGACATTGGCCAGTACCTTTAGAGAAGACAGAGACAACAGAGATGTGATGTAACGTGTGTGTGTGTGTGTGTGTGTGTGTAGGTCAGGGTGGCAACTTACTGTCAAAAGCACCTCTCCAGTCATTCCTGTAGCTCCAGCCAACCCAGAGGAGTTACTCAACACCAAACAGTTGTTTCTCAAGAGAGACAAGAGGCTGTCAAAACCTGGTAGAGTCTGAGAGAGAGAGAGAGAGAGAGAGAGAGAGAGAGAGAGAGAGAGAGAGAGTACACAGAGAGCGAGAGAAAGTACACAGAGAGCGAGAGAAAGTATACAGAGAGAGAAAGTACACAGAGAGAGCGATAACGAGAGGAAGAATATGGTAAATAATCTCAAGACCTCAAGATGAAGAGAAATACATTTAAGAAAATAATAATTTAAAAAGAGGAAGAATTTACCTGTTCAGGTGTACTCTGAGTTGCATAAGGGTCACAATTCAGCTCTAAAGGAAAACCATGAATCCAAATGACCTCAGTTCGTACAATACAACACATCACAACACACTGTATCAGGCCGGTCATCATGATTGTGAAACTGGTAACTGGGTAGGCTGGGTGGAGGTTTCAACAGATGGCCTCAAGATCAGTGGTCACAAGCGAAGGCAATTGGGACAGCAGAAAATGAATAAGTAAAACAAGTATTTCTCTCACCTTGACACTTAGTTTGGTTGTTGCCGTAAGTAGTGAATCCAGGGGGACAATGACACCTGTAGCTTCCCTCCAGATTCCAGCAGGTTCCATTCTCTCCACAGGGGTATTTGTTCCCAGTCCCTATACATTCATTTACGTCTGTGTGTGTGTGTGTGTGAGTAAGTGAGTGAGTGAGTGAGTGAGTGAGTGAGTGAATGAGTGAGTGAGTGAGAGAAAGAGAGACAGAAAGAGGAAGTGGGGGAATAAGAAAGACGATGAGGACGTGGATGTGTCGGACACTGTCCTGACAGAGTGATACATGGATGTGTCGGACACTGACCTGACAGAGTGATACATGGATGTGTCGGACACTGACCTGACAGAGTGATACACGGATGTGTCGGACACTGACCTGACAGAGTTATACACGGATGTGTCGGACACTGACCTGACAGAGTTATACACGGATGTGTCGGACACTGACCTGACAGAGTTATACACGGATGTGTCGGACACTGACCTGACAGAGTTATACACGGATGTGTCGGACACTGACCTGACAGAGTGATACTAAAGACACACAATAACCTAAACACAATGTGGATAAGACGTTTCAAATAATTCTGGTCAATGCATTTATTTGAGTTTTGCTTTCAGACCCATCATAATTAGCCACCATAAGGCAAACATAATTTATGACAGAGAAGTTATAGAGACACAAGTTCTAAAACGGTGCTTTGCTGGTACTGTTGGCTATACATTACAGAGTATAGTGTTAAATGCACCATCTAAGACTATTGGTACAACACCGTACGCAAGGAGACTCATGACCCAAGGAGAATGGTGTTTTACTCACCTACACACTTAGAACTTATATCACCTTCGTTATGGAATCCCTGGAGACAACTGCACCAGTAGCTTCCCTTTATATTGTGACAGGTTCCCCACTTCCCACAAATATGTATGTTCTCACCACACTCATCTATGTCTGATAGTAGAAGAAAAAAGTGGTTGAGAGAGAGATGATGATGAAAGTGTATGTGATGAGAATGGAAAAGTAACAACAAATAAATACCACATTTCAATTGTCTGTATTCAGAATGTATTCAGACTTTTTCCACATTTTGTTACGTTACAGCCATATTCTAAAATATATTAAAATTAAATCTACACACAATACCCCATAATTACAAAGTGAAAACAGGTTGTTAGAATTTAGAATTGATTAAAAATACAAAACAGAAATACCGTATTTACATAAGTATTCAGACCCATTGTTATGAGACTCGAAATTGAGCTCAGGTGCATCCTGTTTCCATTGATCATCCTTGAGATGTTTCTACAACTTGATTAGAGTCCACCTGTGGTAAATTCAATTGATTGGACATGATTTGGAAAGGCACACACCTGTCTATATAAGGTCCCACAGCTGATGGTGCATGTCAGAGCAAAAACCAAGCCATGAGGTCAAAGGATTTGTCCGTAGAGCTCCGATACAGGATTGTGTCGAGGCACAGATCTGGGGAAGGGTACCAAAAAATGTCTGCAGCATTGAAGGTCCCCAAGAACACAGTGGCCTCCATCATTCTTAAATGGAAGAAGTTTGGAACCACCAAGACTCTTATTAGAGCTGGCCGCCCGGCCAAACTGAGCAATCAGGGGAGAAGGGCCTTCGTCAGGGAGGTGACCAAGAACCCGATGGTCACTCTGAAAGAGCTCCAGAGTTCCTCTGTGGAGATGGGAGAATCTTCCAGAAGGACAACCATCTCTGCAGCACTCCACCAATCAGGACTTTATGGTAGAGTGGCCAAACAGAAGCCACTCCTCAGTAAAAGGCACATGACAGCCCACTTGGAGTTATTAATAAGATTCTCTGGTCTGATGAAACCAAGATTGAACTCTTTGGCCTGAATGCCAAGCGTCATGTCTGGAGGAAACCTGGCACCATCCCTACGGTGAAGCATGGTGGTGGCAGCATCTTGCTGTGGGGATGTTTTTCAGCGGCAGGGACTGGGAGACTAGTCCGGATCGAGGGAAAGATGAACAGAGCAAAGTACAGAGAGATCCTTGATGAAAACCTGCTCCAGAGCACTCAGGACCTCAGACTGGGGCGAAGGTTCACATTCCAACAGGACAACGACCCTAAGCACACAGCCAAGACAACGCAGGAGTGATTTCGGGACAAGTCTCTGAATGTCCTTGAGTGGCCCAGCCAGAGCCCGGACTTGGACCCGATCGAACATCTCTAGAGAAACCTGAAAATAGCAGTGCAGCGACGCTCCCCATCCAACCTGACAGGGCATGAGAGGATCTGCAGAGAAGAATGGGAGAAACTCCCCAAATACAGATGTGCCTAGCTTGTAGCGTCATACCCAAGAAGACTCAAGGCTGTATTCACTGCCAAAGGTACTTCAACAAAGTACTGAGTAAAGGGTCTGAATACTTATGTAAATGTTTTATTTTCGGGGGGGTTTTAATAGAAATTTGCAAAGAAATTCTAAAAATCTGTTTTTGCTTTGTCATTATGGGGTATTGTGTGTAGATTGATGAGGGGAAAAAACGATTTAATTTGCTAATTCATTAGGCACACCTACTCAATACAGGGTTATTCTTTAATTTTACTATTTTCTACATTGTAGAATAATAGTGAAGACATCAAAATGATGAAATAACACATATGGAATCATGTAGTAAACAAAAAAAGTGTTTAACAAATCAAAATATATTTTATATTTGAGATTCTTCAAAGTAGCCACCCTTTGCCTTGATGACAGCTTTGCACACTCTTTGCATTCTCTCAAGCAGCTTCATGAGGTAGTCATCTGGAATGCATTTCAATTAACAGGTGTGCCTTCTTAAAAGTTAATTTATGGAATTTCTTTCCTTAATGCATTTGAGCCAATCAGTTGTGTTGTGACAAGGTAGGGGTGGTATACAGAAGATAGCCCTATTTGGTAAAAGACCAAGTCCATATTATGGCAAGAACAGCTCAAATAAGCAAAGAGAAATGACCATCATTACTTTAAGACATGAAGGTCAGTCAATACGGAACATTTCAAGAACTTTGAAAGTTTCTTCAAGTGCAGTCGCAAAAACCATCAAGCGCTATGATGAAACTGGCTCTCATGAGGACCACCACAGGAAAGGAAGACCCAGAGTCACCTCTGCTGCAGAGGATAAGTTCATTAGAGTTACCAGCCTCAGAAATTGCAGCCCAAATAAATGCTTCACAGAGTTCAAGTCACAGACACATCTCAACATCAACTGTTCAAAGGAGACTGCGTGAATCAGGCCTTCATATAATAATATAATATAATAATATGCCATTTAGCAGATGCTTTTATCCAAAGCGACTTACAGTCATGTGTGCATACATTTTTACGTATGGGTGGTCCCGGGGATCGAACCCACTACCCTGGCATTAGAAGCGCCATGCTCTACCAATTGAGCTACAGAGGACAACCTGTGGTGGTCGATTTTGCTGCAAAGAAACCACTACTAAAGGACACCAATAAGAAGAAGAGACTTGATTGCGCCAAGAAACACGAGTAATGGCCATTAGACCGGTGGAAATCTGTCCTTTGGTCTGATGAGTCCAAATTAGAGATTTCTGGTTCCAACCGCTGTGTCTTTGTGAGACGCAGAATAGGTGAACAGATGATCTCCGCATGTGTGGTTCCCACCGTGAAGTATGGAGGAGGAGGTGTGATGGTGTGGGGGTGTTTTGCTGGTGACACTGTCTGTGATTTATTTAGAATTCAAGGCACACTTAACCAGCATGGCTACCACAGCATTCTGCAGCGATACGCCATCCCATCTGGTTTGCGCTTAGTGGGACTATCATTTGTTTTTCAACAGGACAATGACCCAACACACCTCCAGGCTGTGTAAGGGCTATTTTACCAAGAAGGAGAGTGATGAGTGCTGCATCAGATGACCTGGCCTCCACAATGACCCGACCTCAACACAATTGAGATGGTTTGGGATGAGTTGGACCGCAGAGTGAAGGAAAAGCAGCCAACAAGTGCTCAGCACGTGGGAACTCCTTCAAGACTGTTGGAAAAGCATTCTAGGTGAAGCTGGTTGAGAGAATGCCAAGAGTGTTCAAAGCTGTCATCAAGGCAAAGGGTGGCTACTTTGAAGAATCTCAAATATAAAATATATTTTCATTTGTTTAACACTTTTTTGTTTACTACATGATTCCATCTGTGTTATTTCACAGTTTTGATGTCTTCACTATTATTCTACAACGTAGAAAATAGTAAAAATAAAGAAAAACCCTTGAATGAGTAGGTGTGTCCAAACTTTGACTGGTACTGTAAGTATTTACACCCGGGTCAATACTTCGTAGAATCACCTTTGGCAGCGATTACAGCTGTGAGTCTTTCTGGGTGAGTCTGTAAGAAATTTCCACACCAGGATTGTGCAACATTTGCCCATTATTCTTTTCAAAATTCTTCAAGCTCTGTCAAATTGGTTGTTGATCATTGCTAGACAACAATTTTCAGGTCTTGCCATTTTGAAGTAGATTTAAGTCAAAACTGTAACTCGGCCACTCAGGAACATTCACCGTCTTCTTGGTAAACAACTCCAGTGTAGATTTGGCCTTGTGTTTTAGGTTATTGTCCTGCTGAAAGGTGAATTCATCTCCCAGTGTCTGGTGGAAAGCAGACAACTAGGTTTTCCTCCAGGATTTTGACTTTGCTTAGCTCCATTCAGTTTATTTTTTATCCTGAAAACTTCCCAGTTCTTAATGATTACAAGCATACCCATAACATGATGCAGCCACCACTATGCTTGAAAATAGTGGTACTCAGTAATGCGTTGTATTGGATTTACCCCAAACATAACACTTTGTGTTCAGGACATTTCTTTTTTGCTTTGCCACATTTTTTGCAGTATTACTTGCCTTTAATTATTTTTTATTCCGTACAGGCTTCCTTTTTTTCACTCTGTCAATTAGGTTAGTATTGTGGAGTAACTACAATGTTGTTGATCCATCCTCAGTTTTCTCCGATCACAGCCAATAAACTGTAACTGTTTTAAAGTCACCATTGGCCTTATGGTGAAATCCCTGAGCGGTTTCCTTCCTCTCTGGCAACTGAGTTAAGAATGATGCCTGTATCTTTGTAGTGACTGGGTGTATTGATACACTATCCAAAGTGTAATTAATAACTTCACCATGCTCAAAGGGATACTCAATGTCAGCTTTTTTTATTTGTACCCATCTACCAATAGGTGCCCTTCTTTGTGAGGCATTGGAAAACCTCCCTGGTCTTTGTGGTTGAACCTGTGTTAGAAATTCATTGCTCAACTGAGGGACCTTACAGATAATTGTATATGTGGGGTACAGAGATAAGGTAGTCATTCAAAAATCATGTTAAACCCTATTATTGCAGACAAAGTGAGTCCATGCAAATTATTGTTATGTGACTTGTTAAGCAAATTTTTACTCCTGGACTTATTTAGGCTTGCCATAACAAAGGGGTTGAATACTTATTGACTCAAGACATTTCAGATTTTCATTTCTAATTAAATTTGTAAACATTTCAAAAAACAGAATTGCACTTTGACATTATGGGGTATTGTGTGTAGGTCAGTGACAAAAAATATACATTTAATCAATTTTAAAATCAGGCTGTAACACAACAAAATGTGGAAAAAGTCAAGGGGTGTGAATACTTTCTGAAGACAGAGGATGTTGTTGTTAAATATTCCTGGTCAGTAACATAATGATTACAAGGGTTATTTTGGAATTGTTGTTTAAAACCAGCATTATAACAGAATGATTACAAGGGATATTTACAAATTGTTGATTAAGACATTATTGCTTCATCCATTGAGGATATGACTCACCAACTAAGCACTAATGCAATATATTTGTTATATTCCTGAGGTTTCTTATGTGTCTTAGATATAGGACAGATACTTCAAAACCTTATGATATATTTTTTAACTGTCTGTTTTGCCAAAGGCTTAGACTTTGAGGTTAACAACCAGTAATACAACAACAATTTTAAAAAGGTTGGGTTCAAAATGATTGACACCCCTTTTTTCAGTACCTTTCAATACCTCACCTTGCGAGGATAACGACATCTTAGGGATCTTAGACCATTCCTCCATACAGAATCCTTCCAGATCCTTGATATTTTTTTATCTGTGCTTATGGTATGCCCTCTTCAATTTAAACCACAGGTTTTCAATGGGTTAGAAGTCCGGAGATGGCAACATTTTGATTTTGTGGACAATTAACAATTTCTTTGTGGACTTCGATGTGTGCTTGGGGTTATTGTCTTGCTGGAAGATCCACTTGCGGCCAAGTTTCAGCCTCCTGGCAGAGGCAACCAGGTTTTTGGCCAAAATATTAACAAGGGCTCCAGGACCAGTGGAAGCAAAATAGCCCCATAACATCTAAGATCCACCACCATATTTTATAGTAGGTATGGGGTTATTTTCTGCTTTTATATTGTCATTTCGACGCCAAACCCACCACTGTAGTGCAAGTCCACTGGTCCTGAGGCCCTTGTTAAGGTCAATGGCATCATGAACTTTACTCAGTACCAAGTCATTTTAGCCGAAAACCTGGTTGCCTCTGCCAGGAGGCTGAAACTTGGCCATAAGTGGATCTTCCACCAAGACAATAACCCCAAGCACACATCAAAATCCACAAAGAACTGGTTAATTGGCCACAAAATCAATTTTTTGGAATGGCCATCTCAGTCTCCGGACTTGAAACCCATTGAAAACCTGTGGTTTGAATCGAAGAGGGCAGTCCATAAGCGCAGACGAAGGATATCAAGGATCTGGAAGGATTCTGTATGTAGGAATGGTCTAAGATCCCTCCCAATCTGTTCTCAAACATTGTAGAAAAAGGCTCAGTGCCGTTATCCTTGCAAGGTGAGGTATTGAAAGGTATTGAAAACAGGGGTGTCAATTTCTACCCTACCTTTTTGAGAGAAAAAAGTATTGCTTGTTAAACAAAATCTCCTTCTCTGAGCAATTGTATTAGTATAATTTCCCAAAATGTATTATTATTATTATCATCATCAATTTAAAACTGACAGACAGTAGTAGCTTTTAATTATCCAGTTTTATTCATATTAGTGTTAAGGAATTAAAGCTATTATTATTTATTATAATAATTATTATTAAGGTTATTATTAATAACAACGCAGTCACAATCTTAATAACACAGTACTGACCTATACATCCTCCATCTGCGGAGGTGAAATAAGTGATCCTAGATTTGAACCCAGGTTGACACCGACAGTGGTAGCTCCCAAGGGTATTGAAGCAAGTAGAATGGTTCCCACAGATGGGATATTCCGCACACTCATCTTTATCTACATAACACCAAATAAGTATTTGAAGTTAGGACAGATCTTAGGTATTAGTCAGTTAGTTGGTTGGGTTGAAATGAGTGAGAATAGAGAATAGTTTCAGCTAATGAACAGTGAATGTATTATTTTAGCCAGCATCATTCTCACTCTAACCTCTTGGTAAGTCTGAATTCTAAACGTCTTATCCTAGATGTGAACCTGTAAAAGGCACCAGTTAAATTCAAACAGATAGAGATGAAAGAAACTATACCCTGCAGTCTACACCTGTCATTAAAATACAGTGATCTTTTTCATCACCAGGGTAAATCAGTTGATCTTACCAGAACAGCCACTTCCAATGTTAGCAATCTCATACCCTGTTTGACAGAGTGGAGGAATTATCCCTTCCAAAGGTAGGGCCAGGTAGAGACCTGTAGGGAGAAAAGAGAAGGAATATCAGACATAAACAAATGATGCCTCTATGTACATGCAAGCATATGCTTTAGACCAACACAGTCATGGCATTTGGCACAGTGTCAAATTACAAACAAACACACAGGTACTCTCTCAATCTCTTAGACTCCCTCTTCTTTATTTCAGGCAAAAAAAAGTCTTAGTTGAAATGTAAAATGAAAGGCATCCAGTACCAGTAACTCACCAAGAATACAGAAGCATAAATTCACTCCCATTGCAAAGGCAGTTTGTTGTTTGTCGATTAACTGTGCGTGCCCGTGTACCTGACACAGAGTAGTACGTCAACACGGTCACGTTATTGTCTCTCTGCAAAATGTCTCCCTTTTATTACTTTCCTCAATACAGTCATCTGAAGAGATGTTATCTTGAAGTAGAAAAGGGACGTCACTATAGCAGTTCTTCTCATCATAATCTCCACCTTCTCATTTACTCTATCAGTGATGGGGGAAAGAGATGATGGGTCAAAAAAATCCAGTCAAAGATATCACAATTACAAACATTAAGAGCTTTAGCGTGTCACTTAAGCAATACAAAATCAGCCACTTTAAAGATGCATTCTTCTCTCTTGTTTTCTTACAATACAAAAACACAACTTGCAAAACTATGCATCATCCCAAACCTTGTTGTGTAATCAGAATGACACATTCATTACACAAAAACATATTTTCTCAGTACTGGCTAAACGCAGATCACACTAGATAGTGAGCGATAATGCAGCTTCCGGCACATAGCTGTCTAAATACTTGCAATTCAATGCCTACCCGCCCCTTCAGCTCAACCAGTCACAATTTAATTTGACGACATAACATTAGTGGAAATATACTTACTTTGCAATTGCATCACAAAAAAAACAAAAAACAAGCACATTAATGAGACAATTTAGGGTTTCATTTGAGGTTACAACCTTTATTGAAAAAACGTACTGAAAAAAATATACAAGTGTCGAACATTGATGGACAAAACATTTTAGTACATAATTTACAGACAATACAATAACCGTATTGGCTAATGGACATACAGTATTATGATTTAAAGAACATAAAATGTGAAACAAAATCACTCCCATAAAGTAGAAAACCACTGAACACACACAAAGGAGGTTCCCATATAAATAAAATGAAAGTATTTTTTTCAAATATAAAAAGTTATTTACAGGACTGATTAAAAACCTCAGAATTAAAATGACTAAAGTAAACTTGTAAACAATTGATACATTATTCAATTTCCTTTGTCAGTTGAACTGAGGCACTTGCGTGCGTGAGTATTGAGGACTTTTAACCTAGGCCCAACCGAGGGTTGATGGAGACAGGAGAGACAGTGTTCAATTAACCTACATTACTGCCACCCACCACCTCAAGTCAATCTAGAAATCCATACTATCTAGGAACAATGGTGAAAGCTTGGGTCTATACAGCAGATCAGCCCCTAATTGTCCTTTAATAATATAGTTCACAGTCTCCTAAAGTAGAGTGGTCTATGGTGTTCTACAGGCCATGCACCTCCCACAGCAGGATCTCGTTGTAGGCGACGGTGAAGAGGAGTTTCCCTGAGGGGGAGAATCGACAGGTCTGCAAAGAGTCACTGTGGTGGAGGAAGTCCTGGAACCTACCGCTGGATGATTTGATGAGCTTCAGCACTCGCTCTGAGAGAGAGACAACACACAGCAACTTGATGCAACCTATTTACATACAGTACCAGTCAAAAGTTTGGACACACCTACTCATTCAAGGGTTTTTCTTTATTTTTTACTATTTTCTACATTGTAGAATAATAGTGAAGACATCACAACTATGAAATAACACATATGGAATCATGTAGTAGTAGTAACCAAAACAGTGTTAAACAAATCAAAATATATTTTATATTTGAGATTCTACAAATAGCTACCCTTTTCCTTGATGACAGCTTTGCACACTCTTGGCATTCTCTCAACCAGCTTCACCTGGAATGCTTTTCCAACAGTCTTGAAGTAGTTTCCCACATATGCTGAGCACTTGTTGGCTGCTTTTCCTTCACTCTGCCGTCCGACTCATCCCAAATCATCTCAATTTGGTTGAGGTCGGGGGATTGTGGAGGCCAGGTCTTCTGATGCAGCACCCATCACTCTCCTTCTTGGTAAAATAGCCCTTACACAGCCTGGAGGTGTGTTGGGTCATTGTCCTGTTGAAAAACAAATGATAGTCCCACTAAGCCCAAACCAGATGGGATGGCGTATTGCTGCAGAATGCTGTGGTAGCCATGCTGGTTAAGTGTGTCCTGAATTCTAAATAAATCTCAGACAGTGTCACCAGCAAAACACCCCCAACACCATAACACCTCCTCCTCCATGCTTTACGGTGGGAACTACACATGTGGAGATCCTCCGTTCACCCACACCGCATCTCACAAAGACACGGTGGTTGGAACCAAAAATCTCAAATTTGGACTCCAGACCAAAGGACACATTTCCACCGGTCTAATGTCCATTGCTTGTGTTTCTTGGCCCAAGCAGGTCTCTTCTTCTTATTGGTGTCCTTTAGTAGTGGTTTACTGCAGCAATTCGACCATGAAGGCCTGATTCACACAGTCCCCTCTGAACAGTTGATGTTGAGATGTGTCGTTCAAAGTTCTTGAAATGTTCCGTATTGACTGACCTTCATTACATTTACATTTTAGTCATTTAGTAGACGCTCTTATCCAGAGCGACTTACATTATTTTTTTTGTAATTTTTTTTCATACTGGAATCGAACCCACAACCCTGGCGTTGCAAACGCCACGCTCTACCAACTGAGCTACATCCCTGCCGGCCATTCCCTCCCCTACCCTGGACGACACTGGGCCAATTGTGCGCCGCCCCATGGATCTCCCGGTCGCGGCCGTCTACGACAGAGCCTGGATTCGAAACCAGGATCTCTAGTGGCACAGCTAGCACTGCAATGCAGTGCCTTAGACCACTGCGCCACTCGGGAGATGATGGACTGTCGTTTCTCTTTGCTTATTTGAGCTGTTCTTGGCATAATACGGACTTGGTATTTTAATTGCATGCATTCCAGGTGACTACCTCATGAAGCTGGTTGAGAGAATGCCAAGCGTGTGCAAAGCTGTCATCAAGTCAAAGGGTGGCTATTTGAAAAATCTCAAATATAAAATATATTTTGATTTGTTTAACACTTTTTTGGTTACTACATGATTCCATGTGTTATTTCATAGTTTTGATGACTTCACTATTATTCTCCAATGTAAAATATTGTAAAAATAAAGAAAAACCCTTGAATGAGTAGGTGTGTCCAAACTTTTGACTGGTAGTGTACATACAGAATGTATTATTGCGTACAGTATTGCGCAGAGAGACACACAGGCTGGTGATTTGTCAAACTCATTCTGATGCTGTATGGTAAATTTGAAAAATACCAAGCAAGCCCGTGCCAAGCTGGTCTGCTTTTGATGGGTTTAATGTAGATTATTTTAATACTTCAGTCCCTGCTAGCATACAAGGTGCCTTTTACTACACAAAACACGAGACACACCAGTCACATTGTAAAACTGAAATGAGAGAGGTAAAAGAGAAGTGACATGCACCTTTTGAGCCCACTGCTATGAGGCGACCCTTGGAGGAGAGGCTGAAGCACATGGCCCAATGGGACAGGGCAATCTTCTTTATGACCCGTTTCTTGGCCAGGCTGTAGAAGGACAGCTCTCTCTCCACTCCATAGCCTGTGTACACCACCAGGCCAGGGTCTATGGGGCTGAAAGCAGCCAGGCTGGGAGGAAGGCTGTCTGACTCCTGATAGAGAGAGAAAGACAAAGAGAGTGAGCGATAGAGGACTTGAAGTTCATTACCTGTTTTAAACCTGTTTTAAAACACAGAAATGTTCACAGTAAAAATATTAAATGCTTGCAAGGTTGAGAAAGGATTTTCAAGTAAAAACAGAGTCGTTGACTGATATCACAAATGTCTCACCTTGCGCTTCACATTGGGTCTGATTCAGACTTAGGAAATGTATGCCTTTTTTACCCGTTTTGATTGAAGCACTTCTCGGTATTTAGTCTTCAGACCTACCCTATGCACATGCGGGTGTGGCTCCCTTGCGCGCGCTGAATAAATGTAATTCAATCACAGAAAACACACCCACTGGGTGGCCTACCAACTGGATCTTCAATGTGTTTTTCTGTTCATTTAAAAAGCATCCCTTTAAATACTGTGTACCTTTAATTTGATCAGCACATTAGAATGTATCCTATGGAGAATGTGTTCAGAATGGAGATTGATTAAAGATAAAATGGTGGTTTGATTAATTCTGAAAATTGGCACATTCAGTTCTTCAACCTATGGTTATGTTGGAACATTAGTGTACATAAAAATATAATAGGGAGAATAGTGTACATTAGTATGCCCTGGCCTACTGGCCACTCTGACTTGGAACTGCGTGATGGCATGGCCAAGTGTTGTGCCATGTGTCAGGTTCAAACTGTTATGGCTTGGTCTGCGCTCCATAATGATTTAATTAGTCTACATGTCCATTTTTTTTGACATTATTACTAGTGATCCTCAACAACAACCACACGGAAGTGACAGCGTTTACAAAGGAAGCAAATGAAAGTTAACAAAAACAATGAATAAATTAAATGATACGAACTGTAGGCTATACTGAAGGGAACTAACAGTAAACTGGCAGTTAAATGTGTGTGGTTATTACTGACGGTCAATACTGATATTGGCTAATATTTAACATGATAGAAATAGGAAACAGAGAAAGTCTGGGCATATAATGAAAACTTTGAGAGTGCCCAAAGGTAAATTTGGCGCGACTGCTTTGCATCGACATCACATGCTCCTGGCTGCAGTAGCCTACCCATTTGGCTTGAGTCTCCAAGTTTCATCACTGCAAGTTAAAAGGCCATACAATTTAAACTATGCAAAAGGTCAAAGCATTTTATAGTTCACTGTGGGAAAGGGGTGGAAATACCTGTAATCTTGATATGCTTTTCACTTTGCTCCATTACTGGTTTCACATTCGTCTCCAGCGATCAGAAGGAAAAATCATCTAAATCAATTTCTATTTGTATTTACAATCCCCTTCTCCAAACGGATTATTCATTTACCTAGGTCTTATCAATAACTCTTATCAATTTGTAAATTAAAGTGCATGGAGAATGGTGTTATTTAGATCCGAAATAAATATATATACTTGGAACAGGTTTGCGCGACCTTATTCATGGTTTCCTCACACGTAAAGATAGTTGTATTAAGTCAAGGTCAGAATATGGCGTATCTGTAGACACACCTTTGCCACACTTTGATTTCGGTGATTTACGCCCCCCCCCCAAACGAATACCTGGCTGGCACAAGCATTTCCCCATGCTTAAAGGTGTAATATGCAGAAATCGCTCCGCCATTTCCTAGTTGCTAAAATTCTAATAGTTTGCCTAATTTCAGTTTGTGACAAAACAAGCAGTCATTGTGTAGAGAATCATTGTACCATCTAAACCGCTGTGAAAAATATTTTCCATATCCAAAAATATTGTATTTTCAGCTGTTTGAAGCTGGTGTACAAAACCGAAAGCAAAAGACGCAAAAATTATACTTAAGAACGGAAAGCATAGAAATTACGCACATAAAACAGATCTACCACTTATTAGACTTGCTTTCAATGAGATGACAGATCTATAACTAACTTTCTATATGAATTTGGTCAGGTCGCCTAAAAAGTTACATATTGCAGCTTTAAGTTCAAGGTCAGAATAGAGAGAGAAAAGTGCATAAAAAGGGAAGTTCCATTTATGCGCCCGTAACTTGGGTCTGAATTCCCACCATCCTGAACAACATCCTCACCTGAAATTGCTTGTCTAACAGACTGAATTCCATGCTATTCATTTTGTGGCCATGTGCATGTATGTGTATACATGCCTATAAAGAGAGGTTTACCTCAGGATTGGCGGGGGCTGGAAATGTGAGCCAATCCAGGAGCTCACACTTGTCCTTCATCCAATCAGCTGCCCAAACGCTGACCCGTCTGTCTGCACTGGCAGCCAACCACATCTCGTTTCCTTCAAGCCCAAATTCTTTGTACTGGTGGACAAAATGCATGACGACAATTCCTTCATGTAGATTCTTAGTAGCTCCTCAAAAACAGTTACACTAGTAACCTCAGAAGCTGTCACACAGAAGTCTGTTCTATTAATTATATGTGTGCTATAGGATCAGGTCCCCCCTTTTATTCATTATACTTTGAAAGGCAAAACTGATCCTAGATCTACACTCCTACTCTGCGACACATGAATATGGGCCCTGACCTGTTTCTTCACACACTGGATGGTAGTGATGGGCGCCCCCTTGTGGTCGCTGATGATACGAACGGTAACCCCGGTCACTGGGCTGCTGACAGCCATCAGGCCGTCCCTCCCCGCAGAGAGGATCACCTGACCTGAGGGTCAGAGGTCACACATAGCCTCCGTTATTGGCAATGTGTATTATACATCCCAGTGAAATGACAAACTGTGTAAATGACATACAAACTGTGTAAATGACATACAAACTGTGCAAATGACATACTAACAGTGTCCCAACAGAAATAGTGCTATCACATTCTAAACATGAATAGGAAAGTCTGACTATCATAAACTCACACAAGAGACAATGTCCACTGGTAGCATTGACAGATAAACCTCCCCAAACACACACACACACACACACACCGTTAGCGGAGTACTGGATGGCGGTGATGGCCACAGGGTGCGGGTGCAGCTTGAGCTCCATCTCTGAGGAGGCCAGGTGAAAGATCCTTAGGGTCCCGTCGCTGTACCCCCCCACCACACACGCACCCCCTTTAGAGGGACTGACGACTGGGCTCCAGCACGCACTACCACAGCTCTGACAGACAGAAGGGACAGGGAAAAGAATCAGGGGTGTAGATATTGACTGTCAGACCATAGGTTTATAACTGGTGCATGATGCATTGGAGTTTCTCCCTCATAATGTGGCATTTAGCCTTGTAAGTACCATGTCATAGTGGAATGGTTACAGCATGTGATATACAGTCATGTAACCCGTGTAGCTCAGTTGGTAGAGCATGGCGTTTGCAACGCCAGGGTTGTGGGTTCGATTCCCACGGGGGGCCAGTATGAAAAATGTATGCACTCACTAACTGTAAGTCGCTCTGGATAAGAGCGTCTGCTAAATGACTAAAATTTTAAATGTGTAATGTGGTAGTTGAAAAGAAGAGAAAAGAACAGTTTGCTGTTCATGTCATAGCTCTAATTATAACATGCTTCACAAAATGTTATGTTGTTTATAAGTGGCAGCGTATGGCTGCTGTTAATGTATATATTAATATATATAGGTGTTATCAGGGGTTAAAGCAACAACAACAACAAACCCCATGACTGACACTTAAGTCGATCTCAGATCGATTGTCTGCTGGCCCAAGTTATCCTCCCCTTTCATTTAAAATTGTCATGACCTTCATGCTTTTAGGGAGAGAGGATCATTTTGTACATGTATTAAAACTGAGTTTCACCACTTCCAGTCATTTTCAATTGGAAACAAAAAATAATCCATATGACGGAAATCCGTCACAGTGCTGGAAAGCTTTAACGCTTGTGTTATAAAGTCTTTATGAATCCATACGGCCATCTTAGCCTTAGTGTTTGTCTTGCAGCCTCACCTGGTTGAGCACCTGAAACTGCACCACCAGCTCGTTGCTGGGGGCCGACCACACCCTCACACTGCCGTCATCCCCACAGGTGGCAAAGTGGCTCTCGTCTGGGCTGAACACCACGTCATTTACCTGGCCACCGGGGGGGGGAGAGAGCGGGTCATTCAATGTATGGATGGAGGTGTCAACAATGAACGCTCATACAGGCTCCAAAACTCAAACACACTGACACATGCACACACTGGCACAAACGCTGCACTGACACACACACTGGCACACATAGTGTACCTTGCTCTTGTGCCCGCTGATGAGGCGGATGCTGGTGTTGTCCACCCAGTTGATGTACCACAGGGTGCCCGCTGTGGTGCCCACGATGCCCATGTCCATGACGTCATCAAAGGCCGCGCACACCACCGTCCCGTCCAGCATCATCTCCTGCTCCAATAGCACCAGAGCGCCTCTGACAGACAGAGGCAAGGACCAATGAGAGTAGACCATTAGATCAAATTAAAATAAGCCAATAGTAGCCAATTAATTGAATAAGAGTGGTTCTCTATATAAAACGTAATAGCCTCACACGATCGCACTGATGCAATACATATACACTGAACAAAAATATAAAAGCAACATGCAACAATTCCAAAGATTTGAGTGAGTTACAGTTCATATAAGGAAATCAGTCAATTGAAATACATGAACTAGGCCCTAATCTATGGATTTCACATGGGAATACAGATATGCAGCTGTTGGTCACAGTACGTAAAAATGAAAAAGTAGGGGCGTGGATCAGAAAACCACCATTTGCCTCATGCAGCGCGACACATCTCTTTCGCATAGAGTTGATCAGGCTGTTGATTGTGGCCCGTGGAATGTTGTCCCACTCCTCTTCAATGGCTGTGAGAAGTTGCTGGATATTGGCGGGAACTGGAACATGCTCTCGTAAACGTCGATCCAGAGCATCCCAAACATGCTCAATGGGTGACATGTCTGGTGAGTATGCAGGCCATGTAAGAACTGGGACATTTCAGCTTCCAGGAATGGAGTACAGATCCTTGCGACATGGGGCTGTACATTATCATAGTGAAACATGAGGTGATGGCGGCGGATGAATGGCACGACAATGGGCGTCAGGATCTCGTCACAGTATCTGTGCATTCAAATTGCCATGGATAAAATGCAATTGTGTTGGTTGTCCGTAGCTTATGCCTGCCCATACCATAACCCCACCACCACCATGGGGCACTCTGTTCACAACATTGACATCAGCAAACCACTCGCCCACACAACGCCATACACGCGGTCTGCCATCGATACAGTTAAAACTGGGATTCATTCGTGAAGAGCACACTTCTTCAGCATGCCAGTGCCCATCGAAAGTGAGCATTTGCCCACTTAAGTCAGTTACGACACCGAACTGCAGTCAGGTCAAGACCCTGGTGAGGACAACGAGCACGCAGATGAGCTTCCCTGAGACGGTTTCTAACAGTTTGTGCAGACATTCTTCTGTTGTGCAAACCCACAGATGGCTAGTCTCAGACAATCCAGAAGGGGACAAAGCCAGATGTGGAGGTCCTGGGCTGGTGTGGTTACACGTGGTCTGCGGTTGTGAGGCCGGTTGGACGTACTGCCAAATTCTCTAAAGCGACGTTGGAGGCGGGTTATGGTAAAGAAATGAACATTCAATTCTCTGGCAACAGCTCTGGTGGACATTTCTGCAGTCTGCATGCCAATTGCATACTCCCTCAAAACTGGAGACATCTGTGGCATTGTGTTGTGTGACAAAACTGCACGTTTTAGAGTGGCCTTTTATTGTCCCCAGCACAAGGTGCACCTGTGTATTGATAATGCCGTTTAATCATCTTATTGATATGCCACACCTGTCAAGTGGATGGATTATCTTGGCCAAGTATAAATGCTCACTAACAGGGATGTAAAACAACACTTTACATATTTTTGTTTAGTGTATTTAAAGGTACAATATGCAGAAATCGCTCTGCCGTAAAAGACGAACAAACTAAACTTTAGAACGAGAAGCAAAGAAATAGCGCACATAGAACAAATCTACCGTTTCTTAGACTTACTTTCAATGAGATTGACAGACCTGTAACTACCATTTCTATGTGAATTTGATCGGTTCACCCCAAAAAGTTACATATTGCAGCTTTAACTAAATACCACATTTTTAAGGTATATAAAACAACAGGCCACAGAGATGAATGGGCTTTAAAGACATGTCATGAGAAGATACACTATGTAACATAGGAGGATGATGAAAAAGGTATGTAAGGAGTAGTGTGTAGGATGAGAAGGAGTGTGCGGTGAGCAGCAGACCTGTCCTCTGTGTTGGAGGCCTCTCCTCCAGGCCTCATGCCCTGTACAGCTGCCACGCCCCACAGCCTCAGCCTGCGAGTGTTACTGCCCGTCAGCAGACGGTTCCCCCGACACAGCAACACTCCTAGAAACACACACAAACGCACACTAATACTGTACATACAGACTCACACACACCAACTATTTTGGAGACGGGTTTATTTGCAAGGATTGTGATGTGTTTTTTTTTTTTACCAACTTTAGTTGAATGAAGTCTGGATAAGAGTAAAATGTTTAAATGTAACTCACCTATCTCCCCCTGGTCAGCCTCCCAGGTCATGAAGCAACGCTGGGTGTTGCAGTCCCAGGCACACACATGTCCACTGTTGGTTCCCGTGAAGAGGATGGAGTTGGCGTTGTAGCACAGAGCCGTCGGCTCCACGTCACCCAACTCCTCTGGCACACACACTCTCTGCACCTAGAATTTGAATTAGAAAAACTTTATTGTCCACACAATGTGGACATTTTTCTTCAAATTCTTTATTAAAAATGATTGTCCTCGTTATGTGGAAATATGTCTTCCTATAAGGGAGGACATGTTGAACATACTTGGAGCCAGCCTGCTTTTATGCAAGCCGAGGGGCTCTAGTTAGTTAGACATGCCCCGCCCAAACCAGGCTGGAAATATGCAGTGTTTAACAAAAGAAGGCTGGTATTACACCGAAACATATTCCCTAGAAAGTGAGCCAAAAGAGCATAGTTTCGGTCGGCACGATAATGTGAAAAAGTATCAGTGTTACCTTCTTAGAAATACAATGAATTAGAAATTAATTCTAATTCTATTGATACCTTGAGCTCCACGTCCAGGCCCTGTGTGTGGGTGTTGCAGAAGTAGAGTCCCTGGCTGCCCACACAGGCCAGCTGGCTGGCTGCAGAGGGGCTGAAGGCCACATCGTGGAGCGGGCCGGACACACTGACCCTGGACAGCAGCTGGTAGGTCCTGGTGCTCCACAGCGCCACCTCCGGGTCGGTGAAATCCCCTGCAGGAGGCAGGATTCAAATACCTTTAAAAAACATCCTTTCTATCTCTCATCCTAGAGGTAATCATTGATCTGTATGTGACTGGACAAGTTAATTTTATTTTAACCTTTATTTAACCAGGTAAGCCAGTTGAGAACAAGTTCTCATTTACAACTGCGACCTGGCCAAGATAAAGCAAAGCAGTGCGATAAAAACAACAACACAGAGTTACATATGGGGTAAAACAAAACATAAAGTAAAAAAAAATACAACAGAAAAAATATATACAGTGTGTGCAAATGTAGCAAGTTATGGAGGTAAGGCAATAAATAGGCCATAGTGCAAAATAATTACAATTAGTATTAACACTGGAATGATAGATCCCTGTAGCTCAGTTGGTAGAGCATGGCGCTTGCAACGGCAGGGTTGTGGTTTCGTTTCCCACGGTCGCTCTGGATAAGAGCGTCTGCTAAATGACTAAAATGTACATGTAATAGATGTGCAAGAGATGATGTGCAAATAGTGATACTGGGGTGCAAATGAGCAAAATAAATAACAATATGGGGATGAGGTAGTTGGGTGGGCTAATTTCAGATGGGCTGTGTACAGTTGCAGTGATCGGTAAGGTGCTCTGACAACTGATGCTTAAAGTTAGTGAGGGAGATAAGAGTCTCCAGCTTCAGAGATTTTTGCAGTTCGTTACAGTCATTGGCAGCAGAGAACTGGAAGGAATGGCGGCCAAAGGAGGTGTTGGCTTTGGGGATGACCAGTGAGATATACCTGCTGGAGCGCATACTACGGGTGGGTGTTGCTATGGTGACCAATGAGCTAAGATAAGGCGGGGATTTGCCTAGCCTTAAGTAGTGAAACTCTTGCTTTCACCTATCCAATTGTTCTTAATCAGTGATTACTTCAGGGAAAGAAGGAAGGAAGGATACATCAAATTATTAGAACAGGGCCACTTGTCCTTGAAGGACTGTTCCACTGACCCACAGTGAGGAAGAAGAAATCATCCCTGGAGAAGGCCAGGGCCTGCACTGCCCCCCGGTGGTAGGATATGGTATTACTGCAGGTTCCGTCCTGTACGTTCCAGATGCAGATGAGGCTCCTGGAGCCACCGCTGCCCCCTGCTGCCGAGGCCACCGTCTGGAAGAGAACAACACACATTCAGAGCTGTGCAATCACTCATAAAATCACCTGTCTAGTTAGAAAGGATCACAGTCACATAAACACTTTAAACAGGATAATTCAGACTTAGCACAACTAAATACAAATAAGTAAAGTTGGTATTCAGTCAGTCACACAGAGAAATCACATTCAGACAGTGGTTGAGACACAGCGAATGCATCATCCTTATTGGCACCAGCACAGTCCACCACCTTCATCCTCATCATCCTCACTCACGCAGGAGGAGACTAGAGGCTTACCTGTGCGTCATTGGTAACAGCCAGAGAGGAGATCTCCTCAGTGTGGCCCAGCCAGTGTCTCTGGGAGCCAGTGTGTAGGTTCTCCACCACCACCACACAACCACAGGAGTACGCAAACAGACCTGCAACCAGTCAACACCACCACACAATCACAGGAGTACGCAAAAAGACCTGCAATCTGTCAAGTTTCAAGTTTTAATGTAACGTGCACGAGTACTGTAAAATGCCTTTCTTGCAAGCGCCAAACCCAACAATGCAGCAATCAATATCAATGTAGTACTAAAAATAACATAAGGTAGAACAAAAATGCAAGAGAAATTAAAATAATAACACGAGAAAGTAAGAAGCTACATACAGGAAAGTATACAACCACATAACCACCACAGGAGTACCCAAACAGACCTGCAATCAGTCAACACAACCACATAACATAAACAAACAGCAATGAAACTGTAAATAAGAAAGAAAGAGACATAAGAGGTCGGGTCATACATGCTTATGACAAGTCTTACAATGCATTATAACTGCATCATAATATTTTCGGTATTCTATCAGTTTATATTTTAGTCAGCCAATGAAATCAGTTGAACAAGAGCAAGGTTTGACCTGTTTCTGGATTCCACACCATGTTGGCCCGCCCATTGCCATTGTAACCAATCACCGCTTTCAGACTCAGGCCCTCTTCGCCCGGTTGGGGAGTTGCAGTACTCTGTGATGGAGAAAAACAGACAGAATGCTTGGAATGCAAGCATTTATAACGTGGGCTTCCTTATTTCTCAATGACGGGACTTGAGCCGGAGAGAGGTGCTCTCTACCTGGTCAAGGGTGGAGGTTTTGAAACGTGGGGTGAAGTGCTTGTAGCAGTCGGGACGCACTGGCTTCACCACCTCCAAATCATCTGTATAACATACAGAAAAGGAAGAACAGGTTAAAGACATGCTCCGGAACATTGGCAACTACTAAGTAGATTTTTTAAGCCTCCCGCTTTGGGCTGGATGGGTCAATGTGTAAAAGCTATGCTGCGCCATTTCCCCTACATTTTCCCCCACATGGCCCAGTCCCCTAGCAGTTCAACCAATGAGCTTCAGCCCCTCACCATATAAGTGTCCGCAAGATACACATGATGCACCCACAGCAGAGCGAGAGAGAAAGCAATGACGTGTTGCACAAATCTGCACATGTGACATAGTACGCAATTTTCAGGGATCATTTGTGGCTCGTTAGCGCTACTTTCAGAACTACTGGCTTAAAAAATATACAAAAGTACCAGAGAATCTCTTTAATAGAGAGAGGAATGGTTTTGTCTAGAAAGATGCACTATTGTCAAAGTCAACTACAGTGAGGGAAAAAAGTATTTGTTCTCCTGTTGATTTTGTACGTTTGCCCACTGACAAAGACATGATCAGTCTATAATTTTAATGGTAGGTTTATTTGAACAGTGCGAGACAGAATAACTTGCATTTTAATGAGGGAAATAAGTATTTGACCCCTCTGCAAAACATGACTTAGTACTTGGTGGCAAAACCCTTGTTGGCAATCACAGAGGTCAGACGTTTCTTGTAGTTGGCCACCAGGATTGCACACATCTCAGGAGGGATTTTGTTACACTCCTCTTTGCAGATCTTCTCCAAGTCATTAAGGTTTCGAGGCTGACGTTTGGCAACTCGAACCTTCAGCTCCCTCCACAGATTTTCTATGGGATTAAGGTCTGGAGACTGGCTAGGCCACTCCAGGACCTTCATGTGCTTCTTCTTGAGCCACTCCTTTGTTGCCTTGGCCGTGTGTTTTGGGTCATTGTCATGCTGGAATACCATCCACAACCCATTTTCAATGCCCTGGCTGAGGGAAGGAGGTTCTCACCCAAGATTTGACGGTACATGGCCCCGTCCATCGTCCCTTTGATGCGGTGAAGTTGTCCTGTCCCCTTAGCAGAAAAACACCCCCAAAGCATAATGTTTCCACCTCCATGTTTGACGGTGGGGATGGTGTTCTTGGGGTCATAGGCAGCATTCCACCTCCTCCAAACTCGGCGAGTTGAGTTGATGCCAAAGAGCTCGATTTTGGTCTCATCTGACCACAACACTTTCACCCAGTTCTCCTCTGAATCATTCAGATGTTCATTGGCAAACTTCAGACGGCCCTGTATATGTGTTTTCTTGAGCAGGGGGCCCTTGCTGGCGTTGTAGGATTTCAGTCCTTCACGGCGTAGTGTGCTACAACCGTAGTGTTGTTTTCTTGGTGACTATGGTCCCAGCTGCCTTGAGATCATTGACAAGATCCTCCCATGTAGTTCTGGGCTGATTCCTCATCGTTCTCATGATCATTGCAACTCCACGAGGTGAGATCTTGCATGGAGCCCCAGGCCGAGGGAGATTGACAGTTCTTTTGTGTTTCTTCCATTTGCGAAATATCGCACCAACTGTTGTCACCTTCTCACCAAGCTGCTTGGCGATGGTCTTATGGTGTCTCCAGCCTTATGTAGGTCTACAATCTTGTCCCTGACTCCCTTGGAGAGCTCTTTGGTCTTGGCCATGGTGGAGTTTGGAATCTGATTAATTGATTGCTTCTGTGGACAGGTGTCTTTTATACAGGTAACAAACTGAGATTAAGAGCACCTACCATTAGAATTATAGACTGATCATGTCTTTGTCAGTGGGCAAACGTACAAAATCAGCAGGGGATCAAATACTTTTTTCCCTCATACTATATTGAAATAAATATTTAAATATATACACACACATATACATATATACACACATACATACCTACATACAGTGCATTCGGAAAGTATTCAGACCCATTGACTTTCCCCAAATTTTGTTATGTTACAGCCTTATTCTAAAAATGGATTAATTAGTTTTTCCCCCTCATCATTATACACACAATACCCCATAATGACTAAGCAAAAACAGGTTTTCAGAAATGTTAGCAAAGTTATTAAAAATTAAAAACGGAAATATAACATTTACATAAGTCATCAGAACCTTTACTCAGTACTTTGTTGAAGCACCTTTGGCAGCGATTACAGCCTTGAGTCTTCTTGGGTATGACGCTACAAGCTTGGCACACCTGTATTTGGTGAGCTTCTCCCATTCTTCTCTGCAGATCCTCTCAAGCTCTGTGAGGTTAGATGGGGAGCGTCGCTGCACTGCTATTTTCAGGTCTCTCCAGAGATGTTCGATTGGGTTCAAGTCCGGGCTCTGGCTGGGCCACTCAAGGACATTCAGAGACTTGTCCCGAAGCCACTCCTGCGTTGTCTTGGCTGTGTGCTTAGGGTTGTTGTCCTGTTGGAAGGTGAACATTCGCCCCAGTCTGAGGTCCTGAGCGGTCTGGAGCAGGTTTTCATCAAGGATCTCTCTTTACTTTGCTCCGTTCACCTTTCCCTTGATCCTGACTAGTCTCCCAGTCCCTGCCGCTGAAAAACATCCCCACACCATGCTTCACCGTATGGATGGTGACAGGTTTCCTCCATATGTGACGCTTGGCATTGAGGCCAAATAGTTCAATCTTGGTTTTATCAGACCAGAGAATCTTGTTTCTCATGGTGAGAGTCTTTAGGTGCCTTTTGGCAAACTCCAAGCGGCATTTCATGTTCCTTTTACTGAGGAGTGGCTTCCGTCTGGTCAATCTACCATAAAGGCCTGATAAGTGGAGTACTGCAGAGATGCTTGTCATTATGGAAGTTTTTTTCCATCTCCACAGAGGAACTCTAGACCTCTATCAGAGTGACCATCGGGTTCTTGGTCACCTCCCTGACCAAGGCTCTTCTCCCCAGATTGCTCAGTTTGGCCGGACGGCCAGCTTTAGGAAGAGTCTTGGTGATTCCAAACTTCTTCCATTTAAGAATGATGGAGGCCACTGTGCTCTTGGGACCTTCAATGCTGTAGACATTTTTTGGTAACTTCCCCAGATCTGTGCATTGACACAATCCTGTCTCGGAGCTCTACGGACAATTCCTTCGACCTCATGGCTTGGTTTTTGCACTGACATGCACTGTCCACTGTGGGACCTTATATAGATAAAGTGTGTGCCTTTCCAAATCATGTCCAATCAATTTAATTTACCCCAGGTGGACTCCAATCAAGTTGTAGAAACATCAAGGATGATCAATGGAAACAGGAGGCACCTGAGCTCAATTTCGAGTCTCATAGCAAAGGGTCTGAATACTTATGTAAATACATTTAATTTAATAAATGATCAGACATTTCTAAAAACCTGTTTTCACTTTGACATTATGAGGTAGTGTGTGTAGATTGATAAGGATTTTTTAAATTTAATCCAGTTTAGAATAAGGCTGTGACATAACAAAATGGTCTGAAAACTTTCCGAAGGCACTGTATGTACGCATGTATGTATGCATGCATGTATGTATGTGTATATACACTACCAGTCAAAAGGTTGGACACACCAACTCATTCAAGAGTTTTTATTTATTTTTACTATTATTTACATTGCAGAATAATAGCGAAGACATCAAAACTATGAAATAACACATATGGAATCATGTAGTAACCAAAAAAGTGTTAAACAAATCAAAATATATTTTATATTTCAGATTCTTCAAATAGCCACCCTTTGCCTTGATGACAGCTTTGCACACTCTTGGCATTCTCTCAACCAGCTTCACCTAGAATGCTTTTCCAACAGTCTTGAAGTAGTTCCCACATATGCTGAGCACTTGTAGGCTGCTTTTCCTTCACTCTGCCGTCCGACTCATCCCAAACCATCTCAATTTGGTTGAGGTCGGGGGATTGTGGAGGCAAAGTCATCTGATGCAGCACTCCATCACTCTCCTTGGTAAAATAGCCCTTACACAGCCTGGAGGTGTGTTGGGTCATTGTCCTGTTGAAAAACAAATGATAGTCCCACTAAGCCCAAAACAGATGGGATGGCGTATCGCTGCAGAATGCTGTGGTAGACATGCTGGTTAAGTGTGCACATGCAGAGATTATCCGTTCACCCACACCGAGTCTCACAAAGAAAATCTCAGATTTGGACTCCAGACCAAAGGACAAAATTCCACCGGTCTAATGTCCATTGCTTGCGTTTCTTGGCCCAAGCAAGTTTCTTCTTCTTATTGGTGTCCTTTAGTAGTGGTTTCTTTGCAGCAATTCGGCCATGAAGGCCTGATTCACCTCTGAACAGTTGATGTTAAGATGTGTCTGTTACTTGAACTCTGTGAAGCATTTATTGGGGCTGCAATTTCTGAGACTGGTAACTAATGAACTTATCCTCTGCAGCAGAGGGAACTCTGGGTCTTCCATTCCTGTGGCGGTTCTTATGAGAGCCAGTTTCATCATAGCACTTGATGGTTTTTGCAACTGCACTTCTTGAAATTTTGCAGATTGACTGACCATCATGTCTTAAAGTAATAATGGACTGTCGTTTCTCTTTGCTTATTTGAGCTGTTCTTGCCATAATATGGACTTGGTCTTTTACCAAATATGGCTATCTTCTGTATACCACCCCTTCCTTGTCACAACACAACTGATTGGGTCAAACGCATTAAGAAGGAAATACATTCCACAAATTATCTTTTAAGAAGGCACACCTGTTAATTGAAATGCATTCCAGGTGACTACCTCATGAAGCTGGTTGAGAGAATGCCAAGAGTGTGCAAAGCTGTCATCAAGGCAAAGGGTGGCTATTTGAAGAATCTCAAATGTAAAATATACTTTGATTTGTTTAACACTTTTTTGGTTACTACATGATTCCATATGTGTTATTTCATAGTTTTGATGTCTTTAGTATTATTCTACAATGTAGAAAATAGTAAAAATAAAGAAAAACCCTGGAATGAGTAGGTGTTCTAAAACATTTGACTGGTAGTGTGTATATACAGTGGGGAGAACAAGTATTTGATACACTGCCGATTTTGCAGGTTTTCCTACTTACAAAGCATGTAGAGGTCTGTAATTTTTATCATAGGTACACTTCAACTGTGAGAGACGGAATCTAAAACAAAAATCCAGAAAATCACATTGTATGATTTTTAAGTAATTAATTTGCATTTTATTGCATGACATAAGTATTTGATCACCTACCAACCAGTAAGAATTCCGTCTCTCACAGACCTGTTAGTTTTTCTTTAAGAAGCCCTCCTGTTCTCCACTCATTACCTGTATTAACTGCACCTGTTTGAACTCGTTACCTGTATAAAAGACACCTGTCCACACACTCAATCAAACAGACCCCAACCTCTCCACAATGGCCAAGACCAGAGAGCTGTGTAAGGACATCAGGGATAAAATTGTAGACCTGCACAAGGCTGGGATGGGCTACAGGACAATAGGCAAGCAGCTTGGTGAGAAGGCAACAACTGTTGGCGCAATTATTAGAAAATGGAAGAAGTTCAAGATGACGGTCAATCAGCCTCGGTCTGGGGCTCCATGCAAGATCTCAACTCGTGGGGCATCAATGATCATGAGGAAGGTGAGGGATCAGCCCAGAACTACACGGCAGGACCTGGTCAATGACCTGAAGAGAGCTGGGACCACAGTCTCAAAGAAAAACATTAGTAACACAGTACGCCGTCATGGATTAAAATCCTGCAGCGCACGCAAGGTCCTCCTGCTCAAGCCAGCGCATGTCCAGGCCCGTCTGAAGTTTGCCAATGACCATCCAGAGGAGGAATGGGAGAAGTTCATGTGGTCTGATGAGACAAAAATAGAGCTTTTTGGTCTAAACTCCACTCGCCTCCTTCCCTCAGTAAGAGCATTGAAGATGGGTCGTGGCTGGGTCTTCCAGCATGACAACGACCCAAAACACACAGCCAGGGCAACTAAGGAGTGGCTCCGTAAGAAGCGTCTCAAGGTCCTGGAGTGGCCTAGCCAGTCTCCAGACCTGAACCCAATAGAAAATCTTTGGAGGGAGCTGAAAGTCCGTATTGCCCAGCGACAGCCCCGAAACCTGTAGGATCTGGAGAAGGTCTGTATGGAGGAGTGGGCCAAAATCCCTGCTGCAGTGTGTGCAAACCTGGTCAAGACCTACAGGAAACGTATAATCTCTGTAATTGCAAACAAAGGTTTCTGTACCAAATATTAAGTTCTGCTTTTCTGATGTATTAAATACTTATGTCATGCAATAAAATGCAAATTAATTACTTAAAAATCATACAATGTGATTTTCTGGATTTTTGTTTTAGATTCCGTCTCTCACAGTTGAAGTGTACCTATGATAAAAATTACAGATCTCTACATGCTTTGTAAGTAGGAAAACCTGCAAAATCGGCAGTGTATCAAATACTTGTTCTCCCCACTGTGTGTGTATATATATATATATATAAATAATTTACCATTGTCTGCTGCTCTCTTCAGACTGGCCTTCAGGGTTGATGAAGAGACTCCGCCCGCCACCATCTCAGTGACTTTGAGAAAGGAGCCAGACGCAGGGCGAGGGGAGGGGCCTGCCGGGGCAGGGCTGGGAAGAACCTCGTCAGTATCCTCCTCACACAGAGACAGGCGTCCCAGAGCTTAAGGAGGAAAGAGGGAGACACAGGAGAGGGCAAAGTGGAGGAGAACATGATACTTTAGGCCGGTTGTAAAACAATCCCTAGCTCCTTCTCTTTCTGTGTTTGCAGGAAGTCATAAGCAAAATGGTGGAAGCTCCCAATGGCGGGCTAGGTGGAACAATCACCATACTGTTTTTTGCACACTTTTCCAAGGGTTGGTGCTAATGGTAATTTTCCAAGTAAGGGTGAGACACATAAAAGCAAAGCTGGAAAAAAACTAGATGAAAAAGAGAGCAGCGAATCTCACCTTCTTGTCCAATCCTGTCTATGGAGCTAATGTCCAAACAGGGCAGGGGTGAGGAGGGAAGGGGCGCTGTCCGTCGAGGCATTCCATTGGAGAGCAGCCTGCTGCTGACCTCTGACTCTGAATGACCTTTAGGGGCTACAGTAGAACATCCCAATTTCTGATTATCTATTGATAGGCAAAACTAGAAGACTTACTTCTGTACATGGTATTCTGTTTACTGCAACCTTTGAAATTATGGTATGAATGTATTTGTATTTACCTGGTTTAGGAGGCGAAACAGAGGCTGCCTTTGGTGGTGAACTGCGAGAGAGAAAAATGTAAAACCAATAAATTACAGATGCATGAATACGACCTTCTTATACAATTTACAACAGTATAGTAATGCAATGCCACTGTGGATAATTTTTTGGGGACAGACAGACATTGACAGACTCACCGTCTGTCAGTTCCAGCCTCCTGAGGGTGGGCCAGGAAGTCCCAGAAGAAGATGGCGTCTCCTACTGAGACCACGGCCATCTGGTCTGGGGAGAAGTTCACCTGGCGAATAGGCTGGCTGTGTCCTATGAACATCTGGGATGGAATGATGTATTCAATCAACACATTTCAATGAATAACGTCACACCATTCAAACTATTTGAAATTTGGTAAGATCATGATCCTAAATTCCATAAATTGCTAATTAAAATGTTGGTTGGCATGGTAACCTAAACCAATCAACTTTACCTGTGAGTTGACATCCAGCTGCATGCTGTAATCCCACACCTTCACAGCATTGTGTCCTGCTGTCAGTAAGAAACGTCCATCCTCACTCACTGCCAGAGAGGAACACTGGTGCTTATGTGCCTTAGACACCTGGCAGGGACACCATACACAATAAGCAATGAAGAACTCTACCAAAACAAAGTAAAGATATCTTAAGTATCTTGATTAATAAAAAATAAAAAACACCAAAACACCCGCACTTTTCTTACTAGCACTTATTTTGCTGTTAGTTGCTTTGTTGAGGAAACTTTTTACTTACTATGATTGTGATATGTGGTTGTCTCACCTAGCTACCTTATTACGATGAATGCACTAACTGTAAGTTGCATCAGCTAAATGACTAAAATGTAAAAATATAAAAACATCTCTTTATAAAATTCAGTGCCAAAGATAATCTTCACCTTTAATACAACACACATCACTGTATTGTGCACATCAACTATGTCACACAAACACACACATACACTATATATACACAAAAGTATGTGGACACCTCTTCAAATTAGTGGATTCGGCTATTTCAGCCACACCCATTGCTGACAGGTGTATAAAATCGAGCACACAGCCATGCAATCTCCATAGACAAACATTGGCCTTACTGAAGAGCTCAGTGACTTTCAACGTGGAACCGTCATAGGATGCCACCTTTCTAACATGTCAGTTCGTCAAATTTATGCCCTGCTAGAGCTGCCCGGTCAACTGTAAGTGCTGTTATTGTGAAGTGGAAACGTCTAGGAGCAACAACGGCTCAGCCAGGAAGTGGTAGGCCACACAAGCTCACAGAACGGGACCACTGGGCGCTGAAGTGCGCAGCGCGTAAAAATCGTCTGTCCTCGGTTGCAACACTCACTACCGAGTTCCAAACTACCTCTGGAACCAACGTCAGCACAAGAACTGTTCGTCGGGAGCTTCATGAAATGGGTTTCCATGGCCGAGCAGCCGCATACAAGCTTAAGACAACCATGCGCAATGCCAAGTGTTGGCTGGAGTGGTGTAAAGCTCGCTGCCATTGGACTCTGGAGCAGTGGAAACGTGTTTTCTGGAGTGATGAATCACGCTTCACCATCTGGCAGTCTGACGGACTAATCTGGGTTTGGAAGATGCCAAGAGAACGCTACCTGCCCCAATGCATAGTGCCAACTGTAAAGATTGGTGGAGGAGGAATGATGGTCTGGGCCTGTTTTTCATGGGTCGGGCTAGGTCCCTTAGTTCCAGTGAAGGTATATCTTAACGCTACAGCATACAATGAAATTCTAGACGATTCTGTGCTTCCAACTTTGTGGCAACAGTTTGGGGAAGGCCCTTTCCTGTTTCAGCATGGCAATGCCCCCGTGCACAAAGCGAGGTCCATACAGAAATAGTTTGTCGAGATCGGTGTGGAAAAACTTGACTGGCCTGCACAGAGCCTGACCTTAACCCCATCGAACGCCTTTGGGATGAATTGGAACGTCGACTGCGAGCCAGGCCTAATCGCCCAACATCAGTGCCCGACCTCACTAATATTCGTGGCTGAACGGAAGCAAGTCCCCACAGCAATGTTCCAACATCTAGTGGAAAGCCTTCCTAGAAGAGTGGAGGCTGTTATAGCAGCAAAGGGGGGACCAACTCCATATTAAAGCCCATGATTTTGGAATTAGATTTTCGACGAGCAGGTGTCCCCATACTTTTGGTAATGTAGTGCATCTCCCACACGCACAGACACACACACAGCTCAGAAACAGAGAGACTGCATGCACATCAGTACCACTACCTCTCTGAGCAGTCGTCCGGTGTTAGCGCTAATCCACAGAATCTTGTTGGCGGAGGTGGTGACCAGTAGGTGTCCGGTGGAGGCCGGGGAGAAACACAACCTTCAGGGCCGAGTCCAGACTGGTGCTCTCCACATCCAGGATACTCACGTCCACACGCAGCAGCTGGGTGATAGGATATATAACATCATGTTACCTCAGCTCAGATACACATCAGAACTTGTTCAAATCACATTTTATTTGTCACATGCTTCGTAAACTACAGGTATAGACTAACAGTGAAATGCTTACTTAAGGGCCCTTCCCAACAACGCAAGGAGAAAGAAAATAGAGAAATAATAGCAAAGTAAAACACGTAACAATAAAAGTAATAATAAAACACAATGAGTAACGATAACTTGGCTATATACCAGTACCGAGTCGATGTGCAGGGTAATTGAGGTAAATATGTACATATAACAAGAAATAAAGTGGTGCATCGGTACTGCTTGCAGTGCGGTAGCAGAGAGAACAGTCTAGGACCTCGGTGGCTGGAGTCTGACACCGCCTGGTATAGAGGTCCTGGATTTCAGGGAGCTCCGCCTCAGTAATGTACTTGGCCGTACGCAGTACACTCTGTAGCGCCTTGCGGTCGGATGCCAAGCAGTTGCCATACCAAGCGGTGATGCAGCCAGTCAAGATGCTCTCAATGGTGCAGCTGTTTAACCTTTTGAGGATCTGAGGGCCCATGCAAAATCTTTTCAGCCTCCTGAGGGGGAAGAGGCGTTGTCGTGCCCTCTTCACGACGGTGTTGGTGTGTGTGGACCATGATAGATCCTTAGTGATGTGGACCCCGAGGAACTTGAAGCTCTTGCCCCGCTCCACTAGAGCCCTGCCGGTGTGAATGGCGGCGTACTCGGCCCTCCGTTTCCTGTAGTCCACGATCAGCTCCTTTGTCTTGCTGACGTTGAGGGAGAGGTTGTTGTCCTGGCACCACACTGACCTCCTCCTTATAGGCTGTCTCATCGTCGTCGGTGATCAGGCCTACCACCGTCATGTCGTCAGCAAACTTAATGATGGCGTTGGAGTCATGCGCGGCCACGCAGTCTTGGGTGAACAGGAACTACAGGCGGGGACTAAGGACACATCCCTGTGGGGCCACCATGTTGAGGAACAGCGTGGCGGAGGTGTTGTTGCCTACCCTCACCACCTGGGGGCAGCCCGTCAGAAAGTCCAGGATCCAGATGCAGACGGAGGTGTTCAATCCCAGGGTCCTTAGCTTAGTAATGAGCTTTGAGGGCACTATGGTGTTGAACGCTGAGCTGTAGTCAATGAACAGCATTCTCACGTAGGTGTTCCTCTTGTCCAGGTGGGAAAGGGCAGTGTGGAGTGCAATAGAGATTGTGTCATCTGTGGATCTGTTGGGGCGGTATGCAAATTGGATTGGGTCCAGCGTGTCTGGAAAGATGTTGTTGATGTGAGCCATGACCAGCCTTTCAAAACATTTCATGGCTACAGATGTGAGTGCTACGGGGCGATAGTCATTTAGACAGGTTACCTTGGCGTTCTTGGGCACAGGGACTATGGTGGTCTACTTGAAACTTACTTTGTCTCTGCCAAAAGAATTGCAGAGACACAGCAGTTGGTCCTGACCTTCCATTTGGGAAGTACAGTGTAAATCACTATATTTTTTACACTATAATTTTAACAATAAATGCAGAAGTCGTCCAAGCCACATATCACAGGAAAACAAAGCTCAAAGACGAATTGACTGGCACAATAACAGGGGGAAGACATTTAGTTGATTGTAAGAGAACAAACAGTACCTCATCCAGTGAGCGGGCGTCCATGATGGTGACGGTGTACTCAGACGGCCCGACGAAGGCCAGACAGCGATTGTCACTGCTTACTGTGAGGGCATCAGGAGCACGATCAGTGCCTCGCGCCACCACGTTACCTACACAAAAAGAGGATGAGGGAGGGTGTGTTGCCTATAAGCAGGGCCTAAAATGTAATTTTTTGTCCACCAGCCACTGTGGCAGGTAGATTTTAAAATCTACCAGCCACTCAGATTTTTTACCAGCCAAAACAAAACAAAATCATTAAAATTACACCAACACACACATAAAACAGATGAGTATGCTTTGTAACGTTTCTAAAACAATAAATGTATTACTAGTAAGAAGTAATGTGGTATGTTGTTTAATTTCATTTTTTGTGACCTGAGTCTTTTAACCAAAATATCACAGATGAGACAAGAATGTTCACCTGCCCCTTTAAGAGCGGGAGGTTACTGTGGTAACGCGACTCCAGTCATGTTTGTGCCTGTGAGATTGAGTCTGACTAGTAGAAGCATCATCTTTTCCTTCCCTAGCGGTTGAAAATCAAACATAAAAAAACAACCTAGCTTGTGAACAAAACAATGTAAATTGCCAAGAATCACAAGGACAAAGTCTCTCTTCAGTAGACTTTCATTTCAAGTAAATTAGACCAACTTTTATGCCTGTGCGCAGTGCTTCTTTTAAGACTAAAAATGAATCTCCACATGCGCACAGCCCCCAGCCAAGCAGTGTTGCAGTGCGAGGTGGAATAGGCTATAGTTGGATTCGTAGTGCTTTGGCTTTGTGCGATTAATTTACCAGCTATGAAACAAAACATCAGAAATACTTTGAAAACAGCTACTGCAGCATTTACTTTATTATAAATGTGATCATACTTGACTACTTTTATTCACAAATGTGAGTGAAATGCTTGCACTGTGGAGCCCTGACCACCCGCCAACGTGGCTGGTGAAATGGACATCTTACCCGCCAATGCCAAAATCTACCCGCTAGTGGCAGGTGTTAATTTTAGGGCCTGCCTGTAAATCACTGAAGATCCAGTACCTTCACTGGAGATGGAGCTGTCCGACAGGTAATATCAGGACAATACAATGCAATGCAATACAATACACTGAGTGCAGTCCTTGTATTTCTGAAGGTGAAGGGTTCTATCTTCCATTCCATTCATAACATACCAGCTAATTCAACCAGCTCTAGCTGTATAGTGTGTGTGTTTGTCAGTGTTAACTCACCTAGTACTCGGAGTACATGGTGATCTTCCTGAGAGGAGTTGTAGAGAGCCAGAGCACCCAGGGAGCCAGCGCTGTACATAAACTCTCCATCTGGAGAGAAGGCCAGGCCCACCACCTCCCCTCTGTGCTGCCTGCAGAAACAAAACACAAGAGGACTCGAGGTGTTCTGAAAGATGACACGTCGAGGATTATAATAAACAGCACTTTGATGTCATACAAGCAAACCACACACCTGTGAGTCCAAATGTGCACTTGTCCATATAAAACTCATGTAATTTACAGGATCAACGTTTATGATCGCTATGTTTGATGTACACTACCAGTCCAAAGTTTGGACACACCTACTCATTCAAGGGATTTTCTTTATTTTTTACATTGTCAAATAATAGTGAAGACATCAAAACTATGAAATAACACATACGGATTCATGTAGTAACCATATATTTTATATTTGAGATTCTTCAAATAGCCACCCTTTGTCTTGATGACAGCTTTGCACACTCTTGGCATTCTCTCAACCAGCTTCATGAGGTAGTCACCTGGAATGCATTTCAATTAACAGGTGTGCCTTCTTAAAAGTTCATTTGTGGAATTTCTTTCCTTCTTAATGCGTTTGAGCCAATCAGTTGTGTTGTGACAAGGAAGGGGTGGTATACAGAAGATAGCCCTATTTGGTAAAAGACCAAGTCCATATTATGGCAAGAACAGCTCAAATAAGCAAAGAGAAACGACAGTCCATCATTACTTTAAGACATGAAGGTCAGTCAATACGGAACATTTCAAGAACTTTGAACGTTTCTTCAAGTGCAGTCGCAAAAACCATCAAGCGCTATGATGAACTTGCTCTCATGAGGACCACCACAGGAATGGAAGACCCAGAGTTACCTCTGCTGCAGAGGATAAGTTCATTAGAGTTACCAGCCTCAGAAATTGCAGCCTAAATAAATGCTTCACAGAGTTCAAGTAAAAGACACATCTCAACATCAACTGTTCAGAGGGGACTGTGTGAATCAGGCCTTCATTGTCGAATTGCTGCAAAGAAACCACTACTAAAGTGGTCCTCTGTGGTCCTCTGTAGCTCAGCTGGTAGAGCACGGCGCTTGTAACGCCAAGGTAGTGGGTTCGATCCCCGGGACCACCCATACACAAAAAAATGTATGCACGCATGACTGTAAGTCGCTTTGGATAAAAGCGTCTGCTAAATGGCATATTATTATTATTAAAGGACACCAATAATAAGAAGAGACCTACTTGGGCAAAGAAACACGAGCAATCGACATTAGATTGGAAATTTGTCCTTTGGTCTGGAGTCCAAATTGGAGATTTTTTGTTCAAACCGCCGTCTTTGTGAGACGTGGTGTGGGTGAATGGTGATCTCCACATGTGTAGTTCCCACCGTAAAGCATGGAGGAGGTGGTGTTATGGTGTGGGGGTGCTTTGCTGGTGACACTGTCTGTGATTTATTTAGAATTCAAGGCACACTTAACCAGCATGGCTACCACAGCATTCTGCAGCGATACGCCATCCCATCTGGTTTGGGCTTAGTGGGACTATCATTTGTTTTTCAACAGGACAATGACCCAACACACCTCCAGGCTGTGTAAGGGCTATTTTACCAAGAAGGAAAGTGATGGAGTGCTGCATCAGATGACCTGGCCTCCACAATCCCCTGACCTCAACCCAATTGAGATGGTTTGGGATGAGTCGGACCGCAGAGTGAAGGAAAAGCAGCCAACAAGTGCTCAGCATATGTGGGAACTCCTTCAAGACTGTTGGAAAAGCATTCCAGGTGAAGCTGGTTGAGAGAATGCCAAGAGTGTGCAAAGCTGTCATCAAGGCAAAGGGTGGCTATTTGAAGAATCTCAAATATACAATATATTTTGATTTGTTTAACACTTTTTTGGTTACTACATGATTCCATATATGTTATTTCATAGTTTGATGTCTTCACTACTATTCTACAATGTAGAAAATAGTAAAAATAAATAAAACCCCTTGAATGAGTAGGTGTGTCCAAACTTTTGAATGGTACTGTACAGTTACAAGGATGACATAGCGTCATACCCTGGGTTGTTCTGAACAGAATGAGCCTGTTTGTTTATTGTGAAGAAAATTAGCAGCGGAACATGCACTTGAACAGATATAGCCCCTGGTTCTCCTCAGACTTGACTGCCCTTGACCAGCACAAAAACATCCTGTGGCGTACTGCATTAGCATCGAATAGCCCCCGCGATATGCAACTTTTCAGGGAAGTTAGGAACCAATATACACAAGCAGTTAGGAAAGCAAAGGCTAGCTTTTTCAAACAGAAATTTGCATCCTGTAGCACTAACTCCAAAAAGTTTTGGGACACTGTAAAGTCCATGGAGAATAAGAGCACCTCCTCCCAGCTGCCCACTGCACTGAGGCTAGGAAACACTATCACCACCGATAAATCTACAATAATTGAGAATTTCAACAAGCATTTTGCTACGGCTGGCCATGCTTTCCACCTGGCTACCACTACCCCGACCACCAGCTCTGCACCCTCCGCTGCAACTTGCCCATGCTCCCCCCCCCCCCGCTTCTCCTTCACACAAATTCAGACAGCTGATGTTCTGAAAGAGCTGCAAAATCTGGACCCCTACAAATCATCTGGGCTAGACAATCTGGACCCTTTCTTTCTAAAATTAGCCGCCGAAATTGTCGCAACCCCTACTACTAGCCTGTTCAACCTCTCTTTCGTAACGTCTGAGATCCCCAGAGATTGGAAAGCTGCCGCGGTCATCCCCCTCTTCAAAGGGGGTGACACTCTAGATCCAAACTGTTACAGACCTATATCCATCCTGCCCTGCCTTTCGAAAGTTTTTGAAAGCCAAGTTAACAAACAGATCACCGACCATTTCGAATCACACCGTACCTTCTCCGCTATGCAATCCGGTTTCCGAGCTGGTCATGGGTGCACCTCAACCACGCTCAAGGTCCTAAATGATATTATAACTGCGATCGATAATAGACAGTACTGTGCAGCCGTCTTCATCGACCTGGCCAAGGCTTTCGACTCTGTCAACCACCGCATTCTTATTGGCAGACTAAATAGCCTTGGTTTCTCAAATGACTGCCTCGCCTGGTTCACCATCTACTTCTCAGATAGAGTTCAATGTGTCAAATCGGAGGGCCTGCTGTCTGGACCTATGACAGTCTCTATGGGGGTACCACAGGGTTCAATTCTTGGGCCGACTCTTTTTTCTGTGTATATCAATGTCGCTTTTGCTGCTGGTGACTCTCAGATCCACCTCTACGCAGACGACACCATTTTGTATACATCTAGCCCTTCATTGGACACTGTGTTAACAAACGAGCTTCAATGCCATACAACACTCCTTCCGTAGCCTCCAACTGCCCTTAAACACTAGTAAAACTAAATGCATGATCTTCAATCGAACGCTGCTGGCAGCCGCCCACCCGACTACAATCCCTACTCTCGGCGGGTCTGACCTAGAGTATGTGGACAACTACAAATACCTAGGTGTCTGGTTAGACTGTAAACTCTCCTTCCAGACGCACATTAAGCATCTCCAATCCAAAGTTAAATCTAGATCTTACCAATCACTGCACCTGTACACAGCCCATCTGAAATTAGCCCACCCAACTACCTCATCCCCATATTGTTATTTATTTTGCTAATTTGCACCCCAGTATCTCTATTTGCACATCATATCTTGCACATCTATTATTCCAGTTTTAATACTAATTGTAATTATTTTGCACTATGGCCTATTTTTTGCCTTACCTCCATAACTTGCTACATTTGCACACACTGTATATATATTTTCTGTTGTATTTTATTTTACTTTATGTTTTGTTTTACCCCATATGTAACTCTGTGTTGTTGTTTTTATCGCACTGCTTTGCTTTATCTTGGCCAGGTCGCAGTTGTAAATGAGAACTTGTTCTCAACTGGCTTACCTGGTTAAATAAAGGTGAAATAAAAATAAATGAAATAAATTGAATGCACTCATTACTATCTGTTTCTATGAATTGTTTTGTGAAAGCCTAACAATGTAAGATTGTATTTTAGAACTTAGCTAGTCATGTTGGCAATAGAACAAGCTTTCAAATGATGCCCAACTAACCCAGATTGAGATTTATAATGTACAGTTTTTGGACTGTGTAAATAACAACAGTAATTGTGTGATGGTGATGACGCTGGGCTGTGTTCCTAACAAAGATCTACAAGTCTGCTTGCTTCAGTTACTAAACGGCACAACTAAGAGAGCTCAAGAAAATCACAGAAAAGTTGAAAGCTCTTTCCTTGAGTCATAAAAGTGCATTGAAAGTACTTAGGAACTCTGCACAATGGAGAGGTGTGTGGCCACCTGGAGACACCATTTAGACCCCTCACTCAAACCTACCCCACATTCTTCATGAATATTCTTATTACGTTACTGAATGTATCCAGAGTATTTTCAGATTTCATTGTTGATAAATGCTGCGAAAAGTACAGTAAAAGTAAAATGCACATAAAAGATTTGTGTCAGGTGAACTGTTCTGTCCTCACCTTTGGTTTAATAACTTTCACATAATCTCAAAATTGTTCCCTTTCAATTCCTACCATGGTTATGCATATGCTTCTCATACTGTAGTTCTTCAGTTAGAAACATTTCAATTGGGTCCTCACCATATAGGCCAATTCCCACGATTGTAAAGGGTTAACAAGCACCCAAATACAATAAGTCACAGAGCGAGACCCAGAACTTCGCTGCACTAATCACGTATTAAATAAAACCATTTCCATGCTCTCTCTCTCATTCTCTAACCCTTCACACCCGTTAACACTGAAGTGTTCAACTGAGGAGGTGGCCTCGACATTCATACAAGACCTTATCAATGTGTCTATAATAGCCTTTCTGCAAACTCTGTCCTATAGACAGTGTGTGTGTGTGTGTGTGTGTGTGTGTGTGTGTGTGTGTGTGTATGTGGCTCAGTCACGAATCAGAGATTCTCGAAACTCTAGAAGACCTCTGCTCTATTCCTCTATAACGAGATACCACACTGGTACCTACTGACAGGCTGTGACAAGATCCACGTCTGTGTCACCCTTCCTACACATTCATTACCCATGCCTGTAAGAGGCCAAAAGGAAATGGGCAAAGAGGGCGAAAGATCGCGGCACAGCAGATGTCACAGGTATGACACTTCCTTGTGAGGGGTGGTGGTGGTGTCAGAGAGGTTAACGGTAGGTCATTGTAATGACATGACTCGGCTAGTGGGATAAACACAGTCACTAACTGTTAACTGGCTATATATTTCAGTCAGTACCAAGATGTATGATCCACTGGCAGCGACAGCTAGTCCTGTCTGGCAAATTGGCCGCTGGGTTATGGCATCTTCCAGCACGTGATCAGAATTGAAGGGATTATTGCGAGTCAAGGCAAAACTGTGCTCAAGGTCTTTTGCAACTCAGAGACTGTATCTAGATTCTGTTGGATCAAGGCACCACGTAACTTCTGTTGTTCATTAATCCATCAACTCCAGAACCCACTATGTACACTACAGTATCTCCTCTAGTCTGGGTCTACCTACTTGTGTTCTGCCAGTAGTTTGGCGCTGGCGATGTCAAAGACCCTGACAAGGCCAGAGCTGGATCCACAGCAGAAGACTTGCAGGCTGGGGTGGAAGGCAACGGAGCAGGGGGTGTCTTCAGAAACAAAGTCATACAGCTGGAGAAGGCCCAGAGGACACATAACAGTCATGAGGTAAAGAGATTCAGTCAGATAAGATCACGGTAGAACAGTCAGAATTCTAAGGTTGAGAGGTCAGTTATTTCAGGTGAGAGAAATTCTACAATAATTCTCTAAAAACATAACACTTACCGTTTTCTTACTATCGTGCCGACCTGAACCAAACTGTGGCATTATCCTTATCAACATTGTTCCAGCAACTATGGTGGATGTGTGACCAGGCCAGCTCAGTACAGCTTGGTTTGTCTCAATTCGGCTCAGTAGTATGAAAACAATATGTGGGTTTGAAAATGAGCCTAGTAGCTTTGAGCATCAGTGTGTGCCATCCGTTCCAGGGCTTGAGTTCCCACCTGCTGCATGGAGTCCATGTCCCAGACGCGCACGGTGCGGTCGCAAGAGGCGGTGGTGATGCGCCGACGGATACCGTCCACGCTGAAGCCCAGCACGCCGTCCGTGTGTGACCTCATCAGGGTGCTGTAGCCGCGGCTGCTCACGTCCAGGTAGCCCAGGTTACCGCTGGAGGTGGCCGCCATGACGCTGAGGCCGTCGTCGGACACGGACACAAGGCTCACAGGACCCTCGTGTTCTGGGGAGGAAAGACATGGGGGGGCTGAGGAACACTGGAGTGTGTGTGTCTGTGTACTGTAGGCTGAGAAAGTGCGTTGGCTAAGGAAATGGGAGGCAGTGTGCGCGAATGTGGGTTTTGATTAAATGGCAGCGATTACATTACTGTAAAATCCCCTGAATCCTCCTTTGAAACCATTCATATGAGCAATAAGATTTTAGCTCTTTGATATGTGCTTTGACTGGGATTCAACCTGGAAACCCCTTTGATATGGGCTGTCTTCAAACACCTTCAGTTTATCAGAGACAGTCTAACCACATTTACATTTACAAGTTACCAATTCTTTAGATGCCAGTCAATACTGACACGTTGAATGCGACAGACATACTGAATAAAACAAATGACTGTGGCTGAGTGAGATGTCTTTTCTTCCTGGCACTGGTTTTGCATATTACTTTAGGAATGAGTGATATGTGGTTGTTTTCACCCATCTTAGGTTGAATGCACCGACTAAATCACTCTGGATTAGAGTGTCTCCTGAATGAGTAAAATGTAAAATGTAAATGTAGATGAATGATAGACCGAGCAGGGATGGAGCTGAATGTTAAACTAAGGGGCCCTGCTGTTCGACTGTGCCTGTTCTCACCAGCCTCCAGGAACACGGTGGAGAAGTCCAGGGGCCAGAGCCGCAGAAAGCCGTCCTCCGAGCCTGTGGCGCAGAACGCTGATGACACGCTGATGCTGTTGACAGCGATGCCCATACCTGGTGGGAAGGAGAAGAATGTTATTGTTCAACACAGCACAGTTTAAAGTGATCTCATGTCTCACCCAAATGGAGATTCTCTTTTTACCTCAAATTACCATTCTCTATCCCCCCCCCCCCCCCCCCCCACCCCCACCTGTCTCACTCTCTATCCCCGTCTCCATATCTCTCCCTTCTCTACCTTTCTTTCCTCCTCTCTTTCTCGCTCTCTACCTCCCTCTCTTCCACTCCCTCCCTCCCCCCTCTATCCCCCTCTCTTCCACTCCCCCGTCCTCTCACCCATGCTAAAGGTCTGTTTCTCCCGGCGCTGAGCGTGGGGCTGCTGGGCGGGCAGCAGTCTCCTGACGTTCTTGATCGCCACACTCCCGTAGTCTATCTCCAGGATGTGGCCGCTGCGGCTACTGGCAAATCTATTGGAAACGAGGAAACTGAAGCTCCATAATGGCTCAAAGTCTTCTGAATTAGAGAATTTAGCACTTATGGGCTCCTCTCCAGAGAGTGGGAGGCGTTAGGTACTTTAGATCGGGTTATTAGGGGATTGAGTGGTGTGGATTGTCGTGGAAATTCTAATCAATAATGAGGAGAGGTCAATCACCAATCAGGATATTACTTTATTCAAAACGTATTAATAAGGTAGTAAGTGAGGCTGGTCGACCCAACACTCTTGACTGTTGGGTTGAGAACTCTGACATACAGACAATACAAATATATTTTATAGTAAAGATACACCGTCTCAGTCTACATGACTAACAGCAGATGTGTGGAATGGGTCAAAAGGTTAGGATTTGTATGAAAGACATGAATAATTCACAGCAGACAGTATCTGCGTTGAAGACTGTTCTCATTGTATGGAAACCAGGGTTTGGACCCCAAGACAAGGTTCTTACTAACATTATCCATACCCGAGCCATCTCTCCCTAGTACCTTACATTACACAAACACCAATTCAGTCTATGAAAATGCAGGCTCAGTCAGATCAGGGACATCTCCCTCTCACACACCATTCATCATGAAATGGAAAGTGGCTGTTGGTTTTATCACCTAGCCATCCCTAAATCAATTGCCAGGCCCAGCATCAGAGGCTCATATCTCGAGTAAAACCCATGTCCTTGACCACACGCCTAGACTAGCTGCAGGGAGCTGGAGTAGAAACCATCCCTTTACAAAAACACAGCATTAGTAGGACAGAAATGTCTTACTACTTGTTAAACAAAGCAGGTAAACATGTTACATGTCAATTTCTCTCACACAGGATGCAGCAGGTGAGGTGTCTGTCACTCAGAGGCAGTGATGTGTGGAGCTTTTCAAACCTTTCATAGGCTCAGTGGGAGAGAAGTAGAGAGAGAGAGAAGGCGCTGGGTTCTGATTCACCGAAATGGAACTATACAGGGCTTGGAGGAAGACGTAAGTAAGCTCATAGTTTGAATCTCCAAATGGCACCCTATTCCCTCTATAGTGCACTACTTTTGACCAGAGAAGGGAATAGGTTAGGGTGCCATTTGGGATGTAGCCATAGCCTACAACAATATATGAAAGGTTAAAAGCTGAAAGGAGTGTGTGGACTCACAGTGTGCGGTCCTCAGGCTCGCGGTCAGCAGAGTGACCCTCCTCAAAGGCCACGTCGGTGAAGTCCAGGGCGTGGTACTCCCCCAGGTTGACCGGACACGACCGCAGGGCCCCGTTCCGCACGCGCCACAACCGGATGTTATCTCGACCACAGGACACCATCCTGGGGCGCAAATACACACAAGAACATATTTATATTTTGGTTATTTAGCAAACGCTCTTATCCAAAGCAACTTACATGCGCACAACACACATTTCAAAAATCTATTTCATAGTGACACAAACTCAAGATGATAGAATGGATACATTCCTACAACCATTTCCTATGAATCCTGAATGAAGCCTCACATATTGAACTATGATAGACTGTAATGTTACCGTGTGTCATCAAAGAAGGCAATCTTCATGGTCTGTATGTCCACGTCGGTGTGTGCTTTGGCCAGGACAGACACCTCTCCTCCTTTAGTGACACGCAGGGTGTTCCACACAACCACCATCTGTGGAGGAGGGTTAAAAGATTTGGCATGGGCCCTCAGATCTTCAAAAGTTCTACAGCTGCACCATTGAGAGCATCTTGACTGGCTGCATCACTGCTTGGTTCAGCAACTGTATGGCTACGTGTGCCTTTTTTAAAAATGTATGTAGTTCTGTCCTTGAGCTGTTCTTGTCTATTAATGTTCTGTATTATGCCATGTTTCATGTTTTGTGTGGACCCCAGGAAGTGTAGCTGCTGCTTTTGCAACAGCTAATGGGGATCCTAATAAAATACCAAATACCAAAATACCCGACCATAAGGCGCTACAGAGGGTAGACCCACTGCTGCTACCGTCTATAATATATCCTGTTTGGGTATGTTTGAGAGATTGACTGTTGGACATGGCAGGTCCACAATCAATCTCCAGGTCAAGCCAGGGTGAGCCGGGGGTTGAACAGAGTTCAAACTGAACATGATTATTTTTGCATGACAGGGCTTGATTGATTGCACCACCATTGCTTCCAAACTGAATACATAGAGGAGAAATCAGATTTCGCCACTATCATAAACTAAGGAAGTGGGCGGAGCGGTCAAGAGGTGGAAACTGGAGACAGTGGTGGGGGAACCCAAGAGGGAGGGGTTAAGCTAAAATGTATGTAAAATGACTATATAAACAGAGCTGGGAGGTGGAAAAGGAGATGCTTTGCAAACCACCTCTACAAAAACTCTGGAAATACTTTGATCAATATAAGGATGAATTTGCCACAACAATTGTTATTCAATATGTACAGTACAAGTCAAAAGTTTGGAGACACCTACTCATTCAAGAGTTTTTCTTTATTTTTACAATTTTCTACATTGTAGAATAATAGTGAAGACATCAAAACTATTAAATAACACATATGGAATCATGTAGTAACCAAAAGTGTTAAACAAATCAAAATATATTTTATATTTCAGATTCTTCAAATAGCCACCCTTTGCCTTGATGACAGCTTTGCACACTCTTGGCATTCTCTTAACCAGCTTCACCTAGAATGCTTTTCCAACAGTCTTGAAGGAGTTCCCACATATGCTGAGCACTTGTTGGCTGCTTTTCCTTCACTCTGCCGTCCGACTCATCCCAAACCATCTCAATTGGGTTGAGGTTGGGGGATTGTGGAGGCCAGGTCATCTGATGCAGCACTCCATCACTCTCCTTCTTGGTCTCACAAAGACACGGTGGCTTGAACGAAAAATCTCCAATTTGGATCAGACCAAAGGACACATTTCCACCTGTCTAATGTTCATTGCTCGTGTTTCTTGGCCCAAGCAGGTCTCTTCTTATTATTGGTGTCCTTTAGTAGTGGTTTCTTTGCAGCAATTCGACCATGAAGGCCTGATTCACACAGTCCCCTCTGAACAGTTGATGTTGAGATGTGTCTGTTACTTGAACTCTGTGAAGCACTTATTTGGGCTGCAATTTCTGAGGCTGGTAACTGTAATGAACTTATCCTCTGCAGCAGAGATAACTCTGGGTCTTCCATTCCTGTGGCGGTCCTCATGAGAGCCAGTTCATAATAGCGCCTGATGGTTTTTGCGACTGCACTTGAAGAAACTTTCAAAGTTCTTGAAATGTTCAGTATTGACTGACCTTCATGTCTTAAAGTAATGATGGACTGTCGTTTCTCTTTGCTTATTTGAGCTGTTCTTGACATAATATGGACTTGGTCTTTTACCAAATAGGGCTATCTTCTGTATACTCGCCCTACCTTGTCACAACACAACTGATTGGCTCAAACGCATTAAGAAGGAAAGAAATTCCACAAATGAACTTTTAAGAAGGCACACCTGTTAATTGAAATGCATTCCAGGTGACTACCTCATGAAGCCGATTGAGAGAATGCCAAGAGTGTGCAAAGCTGTCATCAAGGCAAAGGGTGGCTATTTGAAGAAATTCAAATATAAAATATATTTTGATTTGTTTAACACTTTTTTGGTTCCTACATGATTCCATTTGTGTTATTTCATAGTTTTGATGTCTTCACTATTAATCTACAATGTAAAAAATTGTAAAAATATAGAAAAACCTTGAATGAGTAGGTGTGTCCAAACTTTTGACTGGTAGTGTATTTATTTATTCCTCGTGTCACTATTTCAATTTTTTATCTTTAACTCTGCATTGTTCAAAAAGGACCCGTAAGCATTTCACTGTTAGTCTACACCTGTTGTTTACGAAGCATGTGACAAATAAAATATTTATTTATTTATTTGAAATTAGGCCCCCACCGCTAAACAACAAGCTATTAACTTTCTGTTCACAGTCACAACAATCAGTCAACCAAAAAGTAATTAACACAGATTGCAAAACCACGGTGAAAGTAATGATGATGATAATGATGATGGATTGCATTTTTTCAGAGCATTTCTCATTAGGTCCCTAAGCAGTGCGCTGAAGTGTTTGTCTATTGACCTTGGTTGCTCCCTATCTGGGTAGCCGTCGTAAACAGACTATTTTGTTTTCAGGTAAGAAAGCAGCTAGAAGGCCAAAAGAAAGAGAATTGTTTAACCTGAAACAAACCGAGATTAAAGGCTGAATAAGGTTGTCTAGGCAGTAGCCACAATGTGACTAAGAAGAATGGTTTAGACAGAATTGTATATATGGATTATATTAAGAATACAATCTGTATACCATTCTTCTTAGTCATGGAATGTATCCTTTGAATAAAATATCTGCAAACAATTCTTCATTGTCACGCATCATATCATGACTATATTGGCTGTGGCGCTTACTGTTTTACTGTGGCCGTCTTTCCCCACTCCACACAGAACCCCACCGCTGTAGGAGAAGCTGAGGAAAACAAGGAGGACAAGTCATGAACAGAGTGAATATCAGTCCTTAAAACGAATGTGTGTGTTGTATTATACTGTATATGCATGTGTTTAGCTCAATGAGGAGAATGGACCAGGAACGCACAGGGGAAAGTCAGATGTGAAGAGGTGTGTTACATAACGGTGAGATGTGAGGTGAGACGTGTGTGTGTGTTTATATGTGAAGGGTCACCTTAATGAGGTCAGCAAATGAGCATGGGTCTTGTGGCTGAGTGTGTGTGTTTGTGGTTGTGTGTGAACAGTCACCTCAGCGAGGACAGTGAGTGAGCGTGGGTCTTGAACATGGCCAAGCAGTTGGCCTTGAGGTAGTTCCACACCCGCACCACACTCTGAATGCCAGTCTGGGCCGAGGCCAGCACTGTGCTGTTCCCATTGAACGTGAGAGCAGACACCTGACAACACACAAAGACAACACACTGCGAGGTGACATTGATGACTTTGACAATGATAAAATGCAGCGCTAGTGTCAAAAGAGACCATGCAACTCCCATTACCTGCTGTGGCATTTCATTCAAAACCTGTTACTGTAAAACGTCAACAAAGTCTCTGAAATCATGTATTTTATCAGATAAGGTTTTATCAAACAGCAACAGCCAGGCCAAGTATTTGAAGTGGCACGGCCTACTAAGACAACAGCACCGCTGTTTGTGAGTGTGTGTTGTGTATTATCTTCATATTTCATTAAACTGTGTGTTACACCTTATCAGTGTGGCCGATGAAGAACCTCTGCTGTCCGGAGGAGATCTTCATGGAGACGATGATGGCGTGACAGGGATACACCACCGTATCACCAGACTTAGTCCATAGAGCCTACAGGGAGAGCGGTAGTAGATTGGTATTTATAAACCGAGTAGTTTGAATCCTGGATGCTGATTGGCTGAAAGCCGTGGTAAACATGTATTTTTACTGCTCTAATTAAGTGGGTAGCCAGTTTATAATAGCAATATTGAAATGTGGGTGTTTGTGGTATATGGCCAACATACCATGGCTAAGGGCTGTATCCAGGCACTCTGCGTTGCGTTGTGCATAAGAACAGCCCTTAGTTGTGGTATATTGGCCATATACCACACCCCCTCGGGCCTTATTGCTTAAACATACAGTACTTGTGTATGACATATACACTGCTCAAAAAAATGAAGGGAACACTTAAACAACACAATGTAACTCCAAGTCAATCACACTTCTGTGAAATCAAACTGTCCACTTAGGAAGCAACACTGATTGACAATAAATTTCACATGCTGTTGTGCAAATGGAATAGACAACAGGTGGAAATTATAGGCAATTAGCAAGACACCCCCAATAAAGGACTGGTTTTGCAGGTGGTGACCACAGACCACGTCTCAGTTCCTATGCTTCCTGGCTGATGTTTTGGTCACTTATGAATGCTGGCGGTGCTTTCACTCTAGTGGTAGCATGAGACGGAGTCTACAACCCACACAAGTGGCTCAGGTAGTGCAGCTCATCCAGGATGGCACATCAATGCGAGCTGTGGCAAGAAGGTTTGCTGTGTCTGTCAGCGTAGTGTCCAGAGCATGGAGGCGCTACCAGGAGACAGGCCAGTACATCAGGAGACGTGGAGGAGGCCGTAGGAGGGCAACAACCCAGCAGCAGGACTGCTACCTCCGCCTTTGTGCAAGGAGGAGCAGGAGGAGCACTGCCAGAGCCCTGCAAAATGACCTCCAGCAGGCCACAAATGTGCATGTGTCTGCTCAAACGGTCAGAAACAGACTCCATGAGGGTGGTATGAGGGCCCGACGTCCACAGGTGGGGGTTGTGCTTACAGCCCAACACCGTGCAGGACGTTTGGCATTTGCCAGAGAACACCAAGATTGGCAAATTCGCCACTGGCGCCCTGTGCTCTTCACAGATGAAAGCAGGTTCACACTGAGCACATGTGACAGACGTGACAGAGTCTGGAGACGCCGTGGAGAACGTTCTGCTGCCTGCAACATCCTCCAGCATGACCGGTTTGGTGGTGGGTCAGTCATGGTGTGGGGTGGCATTTCTTCCGCACAGCCCTCCATGTGTTCGCCAGAGGTAGCCTGACTGCCATTAGGTACCGAGATGAGATCCTCAGACCCCTTGTGAGATCATATGCTGGTGCGGTTGGCCCTGGGATCCTCCTAATGCAAGACAATGCTAGACCTCATGTGGCTGGAGTGTGTCAGCAGTTCCTGCAAGAGGAAGGCATTGATGCTATGGACTGGCCCGCCCGTTCCCCAGACCTGAATCCAATTGAGCACATCTGGGACATCATGTCTCGCTCCATCCACCAATGCCACGTTGCACCACAGACTGTCCAGGAGTGCTTTAGTCCAGGTCTGGGAGGAGATCCCTCAGGAGACCATCCACCACCTCATCAGGAGCATGCCCAGGCGTTGTAGGGAGGTCATACAGGCACGTGGAGGCCACACACACTACTGAGCCTCATTTAGACTTGTTTTAAGGACATTAAATCAAAGTTGGATCAGCCTGTAGTGTGGTTTTCCACTTTAATTTTGAGGGTGACTCCAAATCCAGACCTACATTTGATTTCCATTGATAATTTTTGTGTGATTTTGTTGACAGCACATTCAACTACAGTGGGGAAAAAAAGTATTTAGTCAGCCACTAATTGTGCAAGTTCTCCCACTTAAAAAGATGAGAGAGGCCTGTACTTTTCATCATAGGTACACGTCAACTATGACAGACAAATTGAGGAAAAAAAATCCGGAAAATCACATTGTAGGATTTTTTATGAATTTATTTGCAAATTATGGTGGAAAATAAGTATTTGGTCACCTACAAACAAGCAAGATTTCTGTCTCTCACAGACCTGTAACTTCTTCTTTAAGAGGCTCCTCTGTCCTCCACTCGTTACCTGTATTAATGGCACCTGTTTGAACTTGTTATCAGTATAAAAGACACCTGTCCACAACCTCAAACAGTCACACTCCAAACTCCACTATGGCCAAGACCAAAGAGCTGTCAAAGGACACCAGAAACAAAATTGTAGACCTGCACCAGGCTGGGAAGACTGAATCTGCAATAGGTAAGCAGCTTGGTTTGAATAAATCAACTGTGGGAGCAATTATTAGGAAATGGAAGACATACAAGACCACTGATAATCTCCCTCGATCTGGGGCTCCACGCAAGATCTCACCCCGTGGGGTCAAAATGATCACAAGAACGGTGAGCAAAAATCCCAGAACCACACGGGGGGACCTAGTGAATGACTTGCAGAGAGCTGGGACCAAAGTAACAAAGCCTACCATCAGTAACACACTACGCCGCCAGGAACTCAAATCCTGTGTCCCCCTGCTTAAGCCAGTACATGTCCAGGCCCGTCTGAAGTTTGCTAGAGTGCATTTGGATGATCCAGAAGAGGATTGGGAGAATGTCATATGGTCAGATGAAACCAAAATATAACTTTTTGGTAAAAACTAAACTCGTCGTGTTTGGAGGACAAAGAATGCTGAGTTGCATCCAAAGAACACCATACCTACTGTGAAGCATGGGGGTGGAAACATCATGCTTTGGGGCTGATTTTCTGCAAAGGGACCAGGACGACTGATCCGTGTAAAGGAAAGAATGAATGGGGCCATGTATCGTGAGATTTTGAGTGAAAACCTCCTTCCATCAGCAAGGGCATTGAAGATGAAACGTGGCTGGGTCTTTCAGCATGACAATGATCCCAAACACACCGCCCGGGCAACGAAGGAGTGGCTTCGTAAGATGCATTCAAGGTCCTGGAGTGGCCTAGCCAGTCTCCAGATCTCAACCCCATAGAAAATCTTTGGAGGGAGTTGAAAGTCTGTGTTGCCCAGCGACAGCCCCAAAACATCACTGCTCTAGAGGAGATCTGCATGGAGGAATGGGCCAAAATACCAGCAACAGTGTGTGAAAACCTTGTGAAGACTTACAGAAATTCTCATTTTTTCTCATTTTGTATGTCATAGTTGACGTGTACATATGATGAAAATTACAGACCTCTCTCATCTTTTTAAGTGGGAGAACTTCCCCCACTGTATGTAAAGAAAAAAGTATTTAATAAGATTATTTCATTCATTCAGATCTAGGATGCGTTATTTTACTGTTCCCTTTATTTTTTTGAGCAGTGTAGTTTTGTCAAATATGATCTCACAGAGAGAGAGAGAGAGAGAGAGAGAGAGAGACTAATTTCTGATATTATATTTGTAACATATATAATGGTATGATATCTAATATACGGCAACGTTGAATCATAAGTTCTCATTTATTTATTTCACATGATTTCACGTGACCTTTTTTTTTTAAACATACACTACCGGTCAAAAGTTTTAGAACACCTACTCCGTCAAGGGTTTTTCTTTATTTGTAATATTTTCTACTTAGAATAATAGTGAAGACATCAAAACTATGAAATAACACATACGGAATCATGTAGTAACCAAAAAAGTGTTAAACAAATCAAAATATATTTTATATTTGAGATTCTTCAAATAGCCACCCTTTGCCTTGACAGCTTTGCACACTCTTGGCATTCTCTCAACCAGCTTCATGAGGTAGTCACCTGGAATGCATTTCAATTAACAGGTGTGTCTTCTTAAAAGTGAATTTGTGGAATTTCTTTCCTTCTTAATGCGTTTGAGCCAATCAGTTGTGTTGTGACAAGGTAGGGGGTTATACAGAAGATAGCCCTATTTGGTAAAAGACCAAGTCCATATTATGTCAAGAACAGCTCAAATAAGCAAAGAGAAACGACAGTCCATCATTACTTTAAGACATGAAGGTCAGTCAATACTGAACATTTCAAGAACTTTGAAAGTTTCTTCAAGTGCAGTCGCAAAAACCATCCAGCGCAATGATGAACCTGGCTCTCATGAGGACCGCCACAGGAATGGAAGACCCAGAGTTACCTCTGCTGCAGAGGATAAGTTCATTATAGTTACCAGCCTCAGAAATTGCAGCCTAAATAAATGCTTCACAGAGTTCAAGTAACAGACATATCAACATCAACTGTTCAGAGGAGACTGTGTGAGAATCAGGCCTTCATGGTCGAATTGCTGCAAAGAAACCACTACTAAAGGACACCAATAAGAAGAAGAGACCTGCTTGGGCCAAGAAACACGAGCAATGGATATTAGACCGGTGGAAATGTGTCCTTTGGTCTGGAGTCCAAATTGGAGATTTTTGGATCCAACCGCTGTGTCTTTGTGAGACGCGGTGTGGGTGAACGGATGATCTCTGCATGTGTATTTCCCATCGTAAAGCACGGAGGAGGAGGTGTGATGGTGTAGGGGTGCTTTGCTGGTGACACTGTCTGTGATTTATTTAGAATTCAAAACACACTTAACCAGCATGGCTACCACAGAAGGAGAGTGATGGCGTGCTGCATCAGATGACCTGGCCTCCACAATCCCCCGACCTCAACCAAATTGAGATGGTTTGGGATTAATCGAAACACAGAGTGAAGGAAAAGCAGCCAACCAGTGCTCAGCATGTGGGAACTCCTTCAAGACTGTTGGAAAAGCATTCCAGGTGAAGCTGGTTGAGAGAATGCCAAGAGTGTGCAAAGCTGTCATCAAGGCAAAGGGTGGCCATTTGAAGAATCTCAAATATAAAACACATTGATTTGTTTAACACTTTTTTAGTTACTACATGATTCCATATGTGTTATTTCATAGTGTTGATGTCTTCACTATTATTCTACATTGTAGAAAATAGTAAAAATAAAGAAAAACCCTTGAATGCGTAGATGTTCTAAAACTTTTGACCGGTAGTGTATCTCATTGCGTAAAACAAACACAGTGCCACCTTGAGACTTACACATTTCATAGTGGCTCCCCCGAAACCAATGATTCTGTTGAGCCTGAGGATGGGGTCAGGGTGCAGCTTCTGAATACACAGAGAGAGACAGGTCTGAATAATGAAGTACAATGGCGCCGGAGGGAATGGCTGCCGTTTTATGGACTTTTAACTAACCGTGCTATATTGTGTGTTTTTTCGCATTGTTTGTAACTTATTTTGTACACAATGTTGCTGATACCGTCTCTTATGACCGAAAAGAGCTTCTGGACATCAGAACAGCGATTACTCACCTCGAACTGGACTAATAATTTTTCTTTAATGAGTCGGACGAGAGGGATTTGCTCCAGACACCCGACAGGGCCCTCATCCCCGTCATTCGCAGAAGAAAGAAAAGGAGATATCGTGGAAGGAGATCGGGGTGCCTGGTAAGGAGCCGGCGACGAGTGGCTAATCTGCCTTTGCCATCGATACGATTGGCCAACTTACAATCGCTTGATAATAAAGTGGACAGACTTCAAGCACGTATATCCTACCAATGGGACATTAAAAACTGTAATATCTTATGTTTCACCGAGTCGTGCCTGAACGAAGACATGAATAACATACAGCTGGCGGGTTATACATTGTATCGGAAGGATAGAACAGCAGCCTCTGGTAAGACATGGGGTGGCGGTCTATGTATATTTGTAAACAACAGCTGGTGCACGATATCTAAGGAAGTCTCGAGGTTTTGCTCGCCTGAGGTAGAGTATCTCATGATAAGCTGTAGACCACACTATCCACCAAGAGAGTTTTCATCTATATTCTTCGTAGCGGTCTTTACCACCACAAACTGATGCTGGCACTAAGACCGCACTCAATGAACTGTATACGGCCATAAGCAAACAGGAAAACGCTCATCCAGAGGCGGCGCTCCTAGCGGCCGGGGACTTTAATGCAGGGAAACTTAAATCAGTTTTACCTCATTTCTACTAGCATGTTAAATGTGCAACCAGAGGGGAAAAAAACTCTAGACCACCTTTACTCCACACACAGACACGCGTACAAAGCTCTCCCTCGCCCTCCATTTGGCAAATCTGACCATAATTCTATCCTCCTGATTCCTGCTTAAAAGCAAAAACTAAAGCAGGAAGCACCGGTGACTCGGTCAATAAAAAAAGTGGTCAGATGAAGCAGATGCTAAGCTACAGGACTATTTTGCTAGCACAGACTGGAATATGTTCCGGGATTCTTCCGATGGCATTGAGGAGTACACCACATCAGTCACTGGCTTCATCAATAGGTGCATCGATGACGTCGTCCCCACAGTGACTGTACGTACATACCCCAACCAGAAGCCATGGATTCAAGGCAACATCCGCACTGAGCTAAAGGGTAGAGCTGCCGCTTTCAAGGAGCGGGACTCTAACCCGGAAGCTTATATGAAATCCCGCTATGCCCTCCGACGAACCATCAAACAGGCAAAGCGTCAATACAGGACTATGATCGAATCGTACTACACCGGCTCCGACGCTTGTCGGATGTGGCAGGGCTTGCAAACTATTACAGACTACAAAGGGAAGTACAGCCGCGAGATGCCCAGTGACACAAGCCTACCAGACGAGCTGAATTACTTCTATGCTCGCTTCGAGGCAAGTAACACTGAAACATGCATGAGAGCATCAGCTGTTCCGGACGACTGTGTGATCACGCTCTCCATAGCCAATGTGAGTAAGACCTTTAAACAGGTCAACATTCACAAGGCCGCAGGGCCAGACGGATTACCAGGACGTGTACTCCGAGCATGCGCTGACCAACTTGCAAGTGTCTTCATTTACATTATCAACCTCTCCCTGTCTGAGTCTGTAATACCAACATGTTTCAAGCAGACCACCATAGTCCCTGTGCCCAAAAACACTAAGGTAACCTGCATAAATGACTACCGACCGGTTGCACTGGCGTCTGTAGCCATGAAGTGCTTTAAAAGGCTGGTCATGGCACACATCAACACCATTATCCCAGAAACCCTAGACCCACTCCAATTTGCATACTGCTCCAACAGATCCACAGATGATGCAATCTCTATTGCGCTCCACACTCCCCTTTCACACCTGGACAAAAGGAACACCTATGTGAGAATGCTATTAAATGACTACAGCTCAGCGTTCAACACCATAGTGCCCTCAAAGCTCATCACTAAGCTAAGGACCCTGGGACTAAACACCTCCCTCTGCAACTGGATCCTGGACTTCCTGACAGGCTGCCCCCAGGTGGTAAGGGTAGGTAACAACACATCTGCCACGCTGATCCTCAACACGGGGGCCCCTTAGGGGTGCGTGCTCAGTCCCCTCCTGTACCCCCTGTTCACTCATGACTGCATGGCTAGGCACGACTCCACCACCATCATTAAGTTTGCCGATGACACAACAGTGGTAGGCCTGATCACTGACAACGACGAGACAGCCTATAAGGAGGAGGTCAGAGACCTGGCCGTGTGGTGCCAGGACAACAACCTCTCCCTCAACGTGATCAAGTCAAAGGAGATGATTGTGGACTACAGGAAAAAGAAGAGGACCGAGCATGCCCCCATTCTCATTGACGGGGCTGTAGTGGAACAGGTTGAGAGCTTCAAGTTCCTTGGTGTCCACATCACCAACGAACTATCATGGTCCAAACACACCAAGACAGTCGTGAAGAGAGCACGACAAAGCCTATTCCCCCTCAGGAGACTGAAAAGATTTGGCATGGGTCCTCAGATCCTCAAAAAGTTATACAGCTTCACCATCGAGAGCATCCTGACCGGTTGCATCACCGCCTGGTATGGCAACTGCTCGGCCTCCGACCGCAAGGCACTACAGAGGGTAGTGCGTACGGCCCAGTACATCATGGGGCCAAGCTTCCTGCCATACCAGGCGGTGTCAGAGGAAGGCCCTAAAAATTGTCAAAGACTCCAGTCACCCTAGTCATATACTTTTCTCTCTGCTACCGCACGGCAAGTGGTACCGGAGCGCCAAGTCTAGGTCCAAGAGGCTCTAAACAGCTTCTACCCCCAAGCCATAAGACACTTGAACATCTAATCAAATGGCTACCCAGACTATTTGCATTGCCCACCCCCTACTCTTTTACACTGCTGCTATAATATATTATTATTATTATATATTATTACTCTGTTTATTATCTATGCATAGTCACTTTAATAACTCTACCTACATGTACCTATTACCTCAATTACCTCGACTAACCGGTGCCCCCGCACATTGACTCGGTACCGGTACCCCCTGTATATAGCCTCGCTATTGTTATTTTACTGCTGCTCATTAATTATTTCGTACTTTTATTTCTTATATTTAATGTTTTTGGGGTATTTCTTTTGGTATTCTTTCTTAAAATTGCATTGTTGGTTAAGGGCTTGTAAGTAATTTCACTGTAAGGTCTACACCTGTTGTATTTGACTCACACCAATAACTGTATGGGTTCACACAATATTTTGTACAATATCATTGTACAGAAACTAACAAAGTCGTCAGGTGTTTCAAAAACTAAAGTCAATCTCTTTTTTCTTGTCTTTTCTTACCCGCTGTTGGGATTCCTTGGCTGAGGGAAGAGTGACAGGTCTTGAGACTGCTGTACACACAATCTGGAAACGCAAAGGGATGAATACGGAATCCTTCAACAATACAGAAACAAAGCAGGAATGTGTAGGAGCAGGGAAAGCACAGGAAGTAGCTTTGTGAAGGAGGTCTGTTACATAAAGGTGGGGTGTAAGTTGAGTGGTGTGTGTGTGTGTATGTGTGTGCGCAAATGCTAAATGGTGTGAATCTCACCTCCTCTACGTCGCTGTCCTCTCTGTGGGTGTTGATGTCATCCTCGGTGTGTGCGTACACGTGCACGCCCCCATCATCCGTGAATGGGATCCTGACAACAGAGCGGTGCGACCTGGAGGTCCTCGACCCCTGACCTCTTTCCAGGTTGTCGCCATGGTAATTCCAGTCGTCCTGTGACGTGTCTTGGCCGTTCAGGCCGGATGTGACCACTCCCAGCTCAGGAATACTGGACGTCACCAGAGTGGTGCGATGCCTCGGGTGCTGGGGGAGGAAAAGGCTCATCAAGTTTTATGACAATGCGAAATACAGACATTTGTAATTGTACACAGAACAGACAGTCTGACACAGACTGTATACAGAAAATGGGAAGAGCACAGATGTTCACATTTCTTAGAGCATGAAAATACAATTTTAGACACAAAGATCACACACATAAAACCAACCACCCACACACCCAGGCTATTGTCTTACTAGTTTGGGGGTGGTGATCTGCTGGATGAGGGACACTCTGTCCTGCACTGATTTGCTGATGTTCACACTACGAGACATCTCTCTCATGGGACTCCTCTCTGCTGGGGAACATGCTGGGGCAAGACAACAATAACATGTGCTGTTACTACCGAATTTGTACTATGCAATTAATATTTTAATTCTACTGTAATTATACACTAACATAGTAATCACTGCTTTTGTCACAATTGCTGCCTAGGCACATCTCTTCTTAACTGCATTGGGATTACTGAGGTAAATCAAACACTACTAGGAGTTATAGTGTTGTCCACTTACTAGACACAGGGCAGGGATAGCCTTTCTGAATGGAGTCAAAGGGCATCTTGGCTCCGTCTGATGGAAACCTGTTGGAATAAACAAAGAAGTAGCTGAAAAGTTTTAAACATAAGTCCAGGTAGTCCCTCGCTTTTTCAATTCAGTTTTCTCCCATTTGAATACCACCCCAGTGAGGCCACCCACCTGATGTAGTCGTAGAGGTCATGCCAGCTGCCTCCCTTGGGCACAGGGAAGGACATCTCCCTGGGCATGGGGCCTGTGCCCAGAGATGACGCCAACCCGGCCTGCTTTGCCTCGTTGAAGGACACTCCTGGAGGGAAAATAACAAAGGATAAAAATTTGAATTTCTTGAAGAATATTGAAGAGATAGATTAGTCTTGGAGCCGGGCTAGAACTATGGGGGAGGCACATTGAATGAACACAATTGATTGCACCCCCACACAGCCTGGTAAATTGCACTGTGGTTTAATTGAAGAATCATTTTGAAATTAAAGTAAGTACTTCAAACTCAGGAATTGACCATGAATAAGTAGGTTCCGCTGTTTTAGAAAACATTCAAGTAAAAAATACGCACTTCAAATTCAGGAAATGGTCTGAAATAAGCAGGTTGAAGGTTCAGCTGTTGTTGAACATTTGCTCAAATAAAAAATATGCCAAACTAAGGAAATGGTCTTGTAAGTAGGTTCAGCTGAAGGATTCTCTGCATTTAAACGATTTCTATAAAAATGCAGAGATAAGGGCCAGGCTTTTGAACATCTTGAAGAAAATAAGCCCTGAACCTGAATATATTTTTGTTTAACAATGTGGTAGCTATACACAGTTTATTAGGTACACCACCCCGATCATGAAAATGGATCGCTCCTACAGACAGTGAGTCACATGGCCGTGGATTGCTATATAAAGCAAGTAGACAGGCATCGAGGCATTCAATTACTGTTCGATTTAACGTTTGAATGGGCAAAACGAGAGACCTAAGCAACTTTGAGCGTGGTATGATTGTCAGTGACAGGCGCGCCGGATCCAGTATCAGAAACAGCCACCCTCCTGGGCTTTTCACGCACGACAGTGTCTAGGATTTACAGAGAATGGTGCGACAAATAAAAAAAACATCCAGTCAGTAGCAGTTCTGTGGGCGAAAACAGCTCGTTGATGAGAGAGGTCGAAGGAAAATGGCAAGAATTGTGCAAGCTAACAGTCGGGCAACAAACAGACAAATAACGGCGCAGTAAAACAGCGGTGTGCAGAACGGCATCTCGGAACGCACAACTCGTCGATCCTTGTCACGGAAGGGCTATTGCAGCAGATGACCACACCGAGTTCGACTCCTTTCAGCTAAAAACAAGAAGAAGCGGCTCCAGAGGGCACGTGATCACCAACACTAGACTATTGAGGAATGGAAAAACATTGCCTAGAACATGACAGTGAGTGCAGTTTACTTGAGTGGCCTGCTCAGTCCCCAGACCTCAACCCAATAGAGCATATTTGGGATGAGATGGAACGCAGCATGAATGTCCCACCGTCCAATCTGCAGCAACTGCGTGATGCCATCACGTCAGCATGGTCCAAAATCCCTGTGGAATGTTTCCGACACCTTGTAGAATTCCCCGAAGAATTCAGGTTGTTCTGGAGGCAAAGGTGGGTCCGACCTGGTAATAGATGGGTGTACCTAATAAGCTGGCCGGTGAGCGTATGTCTCTACACTGAATGGGTGTGCAGTGCTCTGTTCACGACCACGCTGGCCTTCAAAGCTCCCAGGTAATTGTTTGGCCATGTTTTCGTTTCTTATTAATTTCTTATTGTAAAAGGGGACATGTGCACAAACGGTATATGGAACATTCTTCCTCAATGACAAAAGCTGACACATTATTACCAATGAAAATAAAACTAATAGCTAGTTCTGTGGAAACATTCAAAACATTGAAACCAGACTAATGGTCTATCAGCCAGGAATTGTCTCCCACATTGCTCACCACAGTGCAATTTCATCTTGTGCACATACACAGTCATTGGTAAACCTAACCTGACATGACATTATGAAGCATCTAACACTATATTACATTATAACACTATTATAAACCCTGTGATAGCTTTGGGTCTCAGTCTCACCAGGGTCTAGCACCAGGTCACTGGTGAACATGTTTTTCACGGACATGTTGGCACACAGTTTGATTGTCTTCAGGTGGCTGTGGCGGCGGTTGAGGTAGACAGAGAGAACGTACTGCAGGTCCATCATCAGACAGGTCCAACGCACCGTAGAGGGGGCGGGACCCACCAGATCTGGCCAATAGAAGAACTTGGTCATGATCAAGGAACACCACAATATGATTGTAATTAGCTAGCTTAGCCATGTTCAGTGAAGACATCCCAGAAGGCAAAACTCGACAAATCTGATTAAAATGACCAGCTTTTGGTTGTTAAAATTCAACCAGTTTTGCTTGAACATGATTGGCAAGGATTGTTGTTGTAACTCTGTCGATATGTTCAGAGATGATGTACGGTGAGAGAAAAACGTTTGCCCACTGACAAAGACATGATCAGTCTATAATTTTAATGGTAGGTTTATTTGAACAGTGAGAGACAGAATAAGGGAAATAAGTATTTGACCCCTCTGCAAAACATGACTTAGTACTTGGTGGCAAAACCCTTGTTGGCAATCACAGAGGTCAGCCGTTTCTTGTAGTTGGCCACCAGGTTTGCACACATCTCAGGAGGGATTTTGTTCCACTCCTCTTTGCAGATCTTCTCCAAGTCATTAAGGTTTCGAGGCTGACGTTTGGCAACTCGAACCTCAGCTTCCTCCACAGATTTTCTATGGGATTAAGGTCTGGAGACTGGCTAGGCCACTCCAGGTCCTTAATGTGCTTCTTCTTGAGCCACTCCTTTGTTGCCTTGGCCGTTTGTTTTGGTTCATTGTCATGCTGGAATACCCATCCACGACCCATTTTCAATGCCCTGGCTGAGGGAAGGAGGTTCTCACCCAAGATTTGACGGTACATGGCCCTGTCCATCGTCCCTTTGATGCAGGGAAGTTGTCCTGTCCCCTTAGCAGAAAAACACCCCCAAAGAATAATGTTTCCACCTCAATGTTTGACGGTGGAGATGGTGTTCTTGGGGTCATAGGCAGCATTCCTCCTCCTCCAAACATGGCGAGTTGAGTTGATGCCAAAGAGCTCGATTTTGGTCTCATCTGACCACAACACTGTCACCCAGTTCTCCTCTGAATCATTCAGATGTTCATTGGCAAACTTCAGACGGCCCTGTATATGTGCTTTCTTGAGCAGGGGGACCTTGCAGGCGCTGCAGGATTTCAGTCCTTCACGGCGTAGTGTGGTAACAATTGTTTTGTTGGTGACTATGGTCCCAGCTGCCTTGAGATCCTTGACAAGATCCTCCCGTGTAGTTCTGGGCTGATTCCTCACCGTTCTCATGATCATTGCAACTCCATGTGGTGAGATCTTGCATGGAGCCCCAGGCCGAGGGCTTGTGTAGGTCTACAATCTTGTCCCTGACATCCTTGGAGAGCTCTGTGGTCTTGGCCATGGTGGAGAGCTTGGAATCTGATTGATTGATTGCTTCTGTGGACAGGTGTCTTTTATACAGGTAACAAGCTGAGATTAGGAGCACTCCCTTTAAGAGTGTGCTCCTAATCTCAGCTCGTTGCCTGTATAAAAGACACCTGGGAGCCAGACATCTTTCTGATTGAGAGGGGGTCAAATACTTATTTCCCTCATTAAAATGCAAATCAATTCATATCATTTTTTACATGCATTTTTCTGGATTTTTTTGTTGTTATTCTGTCTCTCACTGTTCAAATAAACCTACCATTAAAATTATAGACTGATCATTTCTTTGTCAGTGGGCAAACGTACAAAATCAGCAGGGGATCAAATACTTTTTTCCCTCACTGTATGTTTTTACCGTGTCTGGCTGTTTTTGCGGTGCTCTCGTACACCGAGCCCTTGGCCGCTCCACACAGGAAGGGGAAGTGCAGCCAGGTGGCTGTGGACTTGAACTCCTTAAACAGGTTGGAGAAGGAGACACGAATCACCTGGCCCTCCTACAAAAAACAGCAGAGGAAACAGGGAGGTCAAATATAGTACCTGTAATTCTTATGGTGGGGTTGTACTGGTAACTGGTAAAAATGTGAATACAGATTTGTACAGTTGAGTCCGTTTCTGAGGTAAAATGGACTCTTAAGAATGTGATGAAACTTTGTTGCTCCTTGCCGAAACAAGAAACTAGCAAACAATCTTTGATTGAAATTCTTTTTTAATCTTCAACATAGAAATGCTACCAAAAATAATTAACTGAAACTGGTTACAAATGACGGAGTCACCCATGATTCACCAAATGATCTTTTGAAGGAGGAAGCAAAGTACTTCAAGCATATGTTTTCGTTTCAGTCGCCTCCATCTCCTTTAACTGAAGCAAATTGTAGAGATTTGTTTTCTATTGATAATGTAAAATTAAACAGCCATACAGAAAGACTCATGTGAAGGTGAAATTACAGAGGAGGAACTTCTGGATGCAATTAAAGTCCGGGAAAACTCCAGGGTTGGATGGCATACCAGTCGAGGTACACCAAACCTTTTTTGATATACTCAAGACCGTTATTAGCATGTTTTAACCACTCCTATGTAAATGGTAGATTATCAGACATTCAAGAAGAAGGTCTGATTTCATTATTGCTGAAACAGGATACAAGTGGAAAATATAAAGATCCAGTCAATTTAAAAAATTGGTGGCCCCTTACACTTCAGTGTTGTGATGCAAAAATTCTAGCAAAATGTATAGCGCATAGAATTAAAAAGGTATTGTCGGATATTATTCATTCTAATCAGACAGGTTTTTTACATGGACGATACATTGGAGATAATAAAGTATGAAAAATGTATACACTCTAACTGTAAGTCGCTCTGGATAAGAGCGTCTGCTAAATGACTAAAATTTTTTACAATAATATAAAGGCAAGTACTGGAAACAATAGAACACTATGAAAAATCTGGGAAACCAGACCTGCTATTCATAGCAGACTTTGAAAAGGCATTTGATAAAGTACGACTGGGGTTTATATATAAATGCCTGGAGAATTTCAATTTTGGAGAATCTCTTATAAAATGGGTTAAAATCATGTATAGTAACCCTAGGTGTAAAATAGTAAATAATGTCTATTTCTCCAAAAGTTTTAAACTGTCAAGAGGAGTGAAACAAGGTTGTCCACTATCGGCATATCTATTTATTATGGCCATCGAAATATTAGCTATTAAAATCAGATCCAACAATAATATCAAGGGATTAGAAATCCAGGGCTTAAAAACAAAGGTGTCATTGTACGCTGATGATTCATGTTTTCTTTTAAATCCACAACTAGAATCCCTCCACAGCCTTGTAGAGGATATAGATACATTTTCTAACCTCTCTGGGTTACAACCAAATTATGATAAATGTACTATATTACGTATTGGATCACTAAAAAATAAAAATTTTACATCACCACATAGTTTACCAATAAAATGGTCCGATGGTGATGTGGACATACGCGGAATACATATCCCAAATGAAATAAATGATCTCACTCCAATACATTTTAATAGAAAGTTAGCAAAAATAGATAAGATCTTGCTACCATGGAAAGGTAAATACCTGTCAATTTGATCACCCTGATTAACTCTTTAGTATTATCCCAGTTTACCTATTTGCTTATTGTCTTGCCTACACCTAGCGAACAGTTATTGAAATTATATGAGAAAAAAAATATTCCATTTGATTTGGAACAGCAAGCCAGACAAAATTAAACGGGCCTATTTATATAATGAATATGAATTCGGAGGACAGAAATTATTAAATATTAAAGCATTAGACCTATCACTAAAAGCTTCAGTCATACAAAAGTTATACTTAAATCCGAACTGGTTCTCTAGCAAATTAGTCAGATTGTCTCACCCAATGTTCAAGAATGACCTTTTCCCCTTTATTCAGATTACAACCTCTCACTTTCAGTTATTTGAAAAGGAAATCATCTCCCAAATATCACTATTTCTAAAACAAGCCATAGAAAGTTGGTTGCAATTTCAATTTAATCCTCCAGAAACTACAGAACAAATAATGCAACAAATATTGTGGTTAAACTCAAATATACTAACTGATAAAAAACCATTATTTTTTGAAAAAACATATGGAAATGTCTGATCTACCCAAAATTACAACCAAATAATTGCAGCATTAACACAAAAATGGAAGGGGAAAGTGGAAGGGGGAAAAAGTAAGGAACCTGTCTGTCGGCCCTGCATTAAAGAACATAATTGGTTCAAGAAAATTGTGATTAATAAAAAAGTATACCAGTTTCATTTAAGGACCAAAGGATTGACAGCCGTCCCATTTAGATTGCAAAATAGTTGTGAAGAGATTTTTGACGTACCGATTCCATGCATAGTGTTTATGAACTGACACGCAAAACAACACCGGATTCAAAACTTAGAATTTTTCAATTTAAATTATTATACAAAATTCTTGCTACCAATAGAATGTTATTTATATGGGGGATACAATCTTCCCAGCTCTGCAGATTTTGCTGCGAAGAGACAATCATTAGATCATTTGTTTTGGTACTGTCCATTTGTAGCTTGTTTTTGGACACAGGTCCAGGAATGGCTAAAGGGTTGCAATATTTACCTGGAGCTAACCCTGCAGATAGCACTACTGGGTGACCTGAAAAGTCATAGTCAATCGATCAATAATATTATAATACTTTTAGCAAAAATGTTTATTTTCAATTTACAATCTGTAGAAACTATGAGAATAGAAGGGTTCAGAACTTCTGTAAAACATCACAGTACAGTTGAAAAATATATGGCAAATAGAAATCCAATATGGATGGTGTTAAGAGATAGATGGGAGGTGTTGAATGGAGTTGAAGGATGGGACTAATAAGAACTAACAACAACTAATAACAACAAGATACAGTGGGGAGAACAAGTATTTGATACACTGCCGATTTTGCAGGTTTTCCTACTTACAAAGCATGTAGAGGTCTGTAATTTTTATCATAGGTACACTTCAACTGTGAGAGACGTAATCTAAAACAAAAATCCAGAAAATCACATTGTATGATTTTTAAGTAATTAATTTGCATTTTATTGCATGACATAAGTATTTGATACATCAGAAAAGCAGAACTTAATATTTGGTACAGAAACCTTTGTTTGCAATTACAGAGATCATACGTTTCCTGTAGGTCTTGACCAGGTTTGCACACACTGCAGCAGGGATTTTGGCCCACTCCTCCATACAGACCTTCTCCAGATCCTTCAGGTTTCGGGGCTGTCGCTGGGCAATACGGACTTTCAGCTCCCTCCAAAGATTTTCTATTGGGTTCAGGTCTGGAGACTGGCTAGGCCACTCCAGGACCTTGAGATGCTTCTTACGGAGCCACTCCTTAGTTGCCCTGGCTGTGTGTTTCGGGTCGTTGTCATGCTGGAAGACCCAGCCACGACCTATCTTCAATGCTCTTACTGAGGGAAGGAGGTTGTTGGCCAAGATCTCGCGATACATGGCCCCATCCATCCTCCCCTCAATACGGTGCAGTCATCCTGTCCCCTTTGCAGAAATGCATCCCCAAAGAATGATGTTTCCACCTCCATGCTTCACGGTTGGGATGGTGTTCTTGGGGTTGTACTCATCCTTCTTCTTCCTCCAAACACGGCGAGTGGAGTTTAGACCAAAAAGCTCTATTTTTGTCTCATCAGACCACATAACCTTCTCCCATTCTTCCTCTGGATCATCCAGATGGTCATTGGCAAACTTCAGACGGGCCTGGACATGCGCTGGCTTGAGCAGGGGGACCTTGCGTGCGCTGCTGGATTTTAATTAATGACGCCGTAGTGTGTTACTAATGGTTTTCTTTGAGACTGTGGTCCCAGCTCTCTTCAGGTCATTGACCAGGTCCTGCCATGTAGTTCTGGGCTGATCCCTCACCTTCCTCATGATCATTGATGCCCCACAAGGTGAGATCTTGCATGGAGCCCCAGACCGAGGTTGATTGACCGTCATCTTGAACTTCTTCCATTTTCTAATAATTGCGCCAACAGTTGTTGCCTTCTCACCAAGCTGCTTGCCTATTGTCCTGTAGCCCATCCCAGCCTTGTGCAGGTCTACAATTGTATCCCTGATGTCCTTACACAGCTCTCTGGTTTTGGCCATTGTGGAGAGGTTGGAGTCTGTTTGATTGAGTGTGTGGACAGGTGTCTTTCATACAGGTAACGAGTTCAAACAGGTGCAGTTAATACAGGTAATGAGTGGAGAACAGGAGGGCTTCTTAAAGAAAAACCGGAATTCTTACTGGCTGGTAGGTGATCAAACACTTATGTCATGCAATAAAATGCAAATGAATTACTTAAAAATCATACAATGTGATTTTCTGGATTTTTGTTTTAGATTCCGTCTCTCACAGTTGAAGTGTACCTATGATAAAAATTACAGACCTCTACATGCTTTGTAAGTAGGAAAACCTGCAAAATCGGCAGTGTATCAAATACTTGTTCTCCCCACTGTAACTAATGTAAAGCATACTGTGTCCATAATAAGTATATAGGTTATAGGTTGAGAGCTTTTGTGAAAGAGCACAGTTAGAAAGATATGGCATATAGAAGCAAACCGGATGGACATCATGAAAATGATCGGAGAGGTTGAGGGTACAGGAAGTTCAGGAGTAAAAACAAACAAAATAGAATTCTTGTAAAATTGACTGTGTCCATAAAATGTATATAGTATGTATAAGCTGGAAGTTGAGGCCTAAGCATTGTTGTTCAGTAGTTTACTCCAATTAGGGAAGGGGTGGTGGGGTTGGAAAGTAATAAAGGGAAATATATTTTTTTAAAGGATATGAATATATATGTATGTTTGTGTATATGTATGTGTGTATATATACATTTGCGAGAAAAAAAACATATGGGGGATTGGAAGTGATGCAGACAATTACATTGACGGAAGTTACAATCTATCTGCAATATTAAAGCTGATCTACCCCCTAATTTTTATTTTTATTTTTACATACAGTGG